CCGCGGGCTTGCCGCGCCGACGACGCCGCGAAAGCGGAACGTGTTGTCGCCGACGGGGGAGGGGGCGATTCCAGCGTTCGAACCTAGGCCCGTCTTCGCGGTCTGGTTCAGCGCCGCGATCGCGCGCGCGGCGGCTTCTTTGCCGCGCGTCGCGAGGGCTCGCATGGTGCGTGTGGAAGGTGAGTCTCCGCGGGATGGAACGCTACGGCGCGCGCGCGAGCGTGGGTGAGCGTGCCGTCGGGTATGACGCGTCTTGGACGCGTCATCAAAAGCGCCCGTTAGAACAGGTTTTTCCGCGCGAAGCGCGACCTTTCGCGGCTGAAATGTGGTGCAGGAAGTTGCCAGCTCGGATTACCCGCGGAAAGTTGACCCACCTTGTTTGCCCATACGGGAACGCGCGTACGTAGTACGCAAAACTCGAGGCTCGGGGGTCGAACGCGCGACGAAAAGCGTTCGCAAAAATCCCCGTTCGACCGTGCGCTTCATCGGCAACGGCCGCGCCTTCAAACCGCATTTTTCACCGAGCCCGCGACCGATCAACCGTCGCGATCAACCGTCGCGCGACGCGATTGGCCGAGAGAAGAGTAAAAGTCGAACGCCCTCATCCGCGTTCGACCGCAGATTACGTCGCGCGCTCTCGGACCACCCGCGCGTCGAGGGCGCGAGCGCGGTGGGGATGCCGCCGACGAAGCGCGATCGCGCCCGCGCGGACGACGGCGCCGGCGTGTGCCTAGAAGTCGACGCGCGCGCGACGTTCCCCGGGGAGGGGAGGTTCGTGATCTTTTCCACCGACAAAAAAAAAATTCCACACGATGACAGTGGGGATGTCATCACCGCGCGCGACGACGGCGCGGCGAAATCCGAGGACGCGTACGCGGCGTATCGCCTCAGGGACGTTCCCGCGGGGTTCGAGCTGGAATTCCCGGACGACAGCGGCGTCGTGGACGCGAGCGAGCGCGCGCGAGATCCCGCGTCGTCGACGCGCGTTCGACCCCGGGGCGCGTCGTCGAACACCTCAACGCGACGCGACGAACCTCCGTCGTCGCGCGGCGTCATGGAGCTGTGGCACACGTTCACGCCGCCGGCGAAGCGAGGGCGAGGCCTCGCGAAGATCGTCGTCGACGCCGCGCTGAGGTGCGCGGCGTTGAACGGACTGACCGTGGACGCGACGTGCTCGTACGCGCGCCGGGTCCGCGACGCCGCCGCCGCGCCGGCGGCGGCGCCCGCGCCGGCGAAGGACGCGCGCGCGACGAATCAGGAGAAGAGTCAGTCCCCGCCGCCGCGGAAGCGACGGAGGTCGACGACGACGCCGGAGTCGACCAGCGCGCAGGGGATCGCGCTGCTGCAGCTCGCGGCGGCGGCGGCGACGACGACGACGACGCGCGGCGGCGGCGGCGGGTCGACGACGGCGGCGGCGGAAGCTGGAACGTCAACCGTCGCCGTCGCCGCGACCGCGGCCGCTGTCCTCGAGAGTCAGCAGTGCGCGCACGGACGACGGAAGAGCCGGTGCAAGGACTGCAACCCCGCGGGCGCGGCGCGCGCGAGAGAGAGCGGGCGGTGCGTGCACGGGCGCGTCAAGTCGCAGTGCAAAGATTGCGGCGGCGTGTCCATCTGTCAGCACAACCGCCTGCGCGCGATGTGTAAGGACTGCGGCGGCGCGTCGATATGCGTGCACAAGCGCGAGCGGTACTACTGCAAGGAGTGCGGCGGGAACGGGATCTGTCAGCACGGGAAGGTGCGGTCGCGGTGTAAAGACTGCGGCGGGAGCGCGATTTGCGCGCACGGGAGAGAGCGGCGGTACTGCCGCGAGTGCGGGGGGAAGTCGATATGTCCGCACGGGCGACAGAAGAGCAAGTGCAAGGAGTGCGGTGGGGCGTCGATATGCTCGCACGGGCGGCTGAGGAGTCAGTGCAAGGAGTGCGGCGGCGCGTCCATTTGCCCGCACAAACGGCTGAAGCACCGGTGTAAGGAGTGCGCGGCGGCGGCGGCGGCGGCGCGCGCCGGGAGCGGCGAGGGGGCGCGTCCTGCGATACCTCGCCTGCCGCCGCCCGCGCCGCCCGCGGCCAGTTGAGAGGATGAAATCGATCGACGAACGAAGGGATCTTCTGTTCCGATCGAACGTAGCGCGCAGTAAGCACTAGTAGCGAATGAACGAACGCGAGAGCCGTCTAACCGAAAACAGAAAACAGAGTCGCGACGCCGCGGGGTTCATACGTCATCGTAACCTTATTTGAGAAGAAAGAAACGTCAATTACAAGCGGGCTGCTAGATAACTATCACTCCTAAAAACTTCTCGGGTTATTTTTTTGGTTTTTTTTAACGCGACGCCGTTCGAGAGGAAGGGCTCGTCCGAAAACGGGCCCCGCCTCACGCCGCCGCGCTCTTCTTTTTTTTTGCGTTTCGGTCGGTAAAGACTCAGCTTCGGCGCACCGTTTAGTACTCCTCAGCCTCCTCCTCGCCGTCGCCCTCGGCGGACTCGGCGCCAACCTCCTCGTAATCCTTCTCGAGGGCGGCGAGATCCTCGCGGGCCTCGGAGAACTCGCCCTCCTCCATACCTTCGCCGACGTACCAGTGGACGAACGCACGCTTGGCGTACATGAGGTCGAACTTGTGGTCGAGGCGGGAGAACACCTCCGCGATGGCGGTGGAGTTGGAGATCATGCACACGGCGCGCTGCACCTTGGCGAGATCGCCACCCGGAACGACGGTCGGGGGCTGGTAGTTGATACCGCACTTGAAACCGGTCGGGCACCAGTCGACGAACTGAATCGTGCGCTTGGTCTTGATCGTCGCGACGGCGGCGTTGACGTCCTTGGGGACGACGTCGCCACGGTACATGAGGCAGCACGCCATGTACTTGCCGTGGCGGGGATCGCACTTGGCCATCATGGACGCCGGCTCGTACGCGGAGTTAGTGATCTCCGCGACGGAGAGCTGCTCGTGGTACGCCTTCTCCGCCGAGATGACGGGGGCGTACGACGAAAGCATGAAGTGGATGCGCGGGTACGGCACGAGGTTGGTCTGGAACTCCGTGATGTCGACGTTGAGCGCACCGTCGAAACGGAGAGACGCCGTGAGGGAGGAGATGACCTGGCCGACGAGCCTGTTAAGGTTCGTGTACGTCGGGCGCTCGATGTCGAGGGACCGGCGGCAGATGTCGTAGATCGCCTCGTTGTCGAGCATGACGGCGACGTCGGTGTGCTCGAGGAGGGAGTGCGTGGAGAGCACGGAGTTGTACGGCTCAACGACGGCGGTGGACACCTGCGGGGAGGGGTACACCGTGAAGCCGAGCTTGGACTTCTTGCCGTAATCCACGGAGAGGCGCTCGAGGAGGAGGGAACCGAGACCGGAGCCGGTACCACCGCCGACGGCGTTGAAGACCATGAAGCCCTGGAGACCCGTGCAGTTGTCCGCGAGCTTGCGGATGCGGTCGAGGCAGAGGTCAACGATCTCCTTGCCGATGGTGTAGTGACCACGGGCGAAGTTGTTCGCGGCGTCCTCCTTGCCGGAGATGAGCTGCTCGGGGTGGAACAGCTGGCGGTACGTGCCGGTGCGGACCTCGTCGATCACGGTGGGCTCGAGATCGAGGAAGACGCAGCGGGGGACGTGCTTGCCAGCGCCAGTCTCGGAGAAGAAGGTGTTGAACGCGTCGTCGCCGCCGCCGATGGTCTTGTCGGAGGGCATCTGGCCACTGTTCAGGAGGAAGAGGCGAGGGCGGAGGGGGTGGGAGGAAGGGCGCGCGTCAGTCATGACATCAGCGCGCGTCGAGGGGGCGAAGCGTCTTCTTCGCGTCGAAGAGGAGGGAGAAGATATTTCCTTTCCCCCCTCCAAGATGCACACGGCGGTCAACGGGTATAAAAGAGCCCGCGATCTTTCCCCGCGCGCGCCGCCGCGCGAGCGCGGTGCGAGCGCTCCGAGGCGAGAAAACGTCGCGCGAACCCCACGAGGACGTCCCCTCCGCGGTTCGAGCGCGAGCGACGCTCGAACCGCGCCGCGGACGCCCTCGAGACGGGATCTATTTTAGGGTTCATTTTCCCGCTCCGTCGTTTGAAAGAACCCCGTCAAGGCGGGCGGGGACGCACTCGGGCTGGATGCCGTGCTCGAGGCAGTAAAGCTCCCAGCACGCGTTACCGGTCTGGATACCGGCCTGGCCGATGTGGATGGAGATGACTTCACGCATGGTGTAAGAGAAGAGAGAGTTGGGTTTCGAAAGAACGCTGTAAGGACGTCCTGAGGAATGATCTGTTGGGCGCGTCTCTCCGCGGTTTTATTCGCGACGCGGGTCGAGCTTCCTTCGACGAAAATTGGCGAAAGCGCGATCGCCGTGTTCATCGATCGGTTCGACCGCGTCGCGATCAACTTTTGAAACCGAGGGTGGGTCAACTCATCGCACCGAACGCGAGGCAAGACTGAGATGCACTGCATTGCGCACGCGAGACCTCCGAGGGCCCCAAAAAGCTCGCGCGCGCGCACGATGCGGCTCGCGCGGCTCGCCCGCGTCGCCGCGCGCGCGCGGTCCTCCTCCTCCTCCTCCTCCGCGCGGCGCGCCTCGTCCACGACGTCGTCGTCGTCCATCTCCGAGCAGGAGTCCGCGCTCGAGGCCGCGGTCCTGAACTCGTTCGCGCGATGGGTGCGTCCCTCAGCGCCCCGTTCGTTCGTTCTCGTCCGGTCTCCGGTGCCGACATCATCATCATCTCATCGCGTCTCGTCGCCCCGCTTCCCCAACCCCAACACCCCGCGCAGCTCGAATCCAACGGCGCGAAGACGAACGGCGTGCGGATGGTCCAGACGCGAGCCATGAACTGGGGGCTGACCGCGTCGAGAGACGTCGACGAGGGCGCGCGCCTCGCGCGTCTCCCGAGACGTCTTCAGCTGTCGTACCGCCACGACGACGGCGACGACGATTTCGACGACGCGTCGGCCTCGACGTCGACGCCGCCGTCGCTGACGCGCCTGATCGATCAGGTCCCCGCGGACCTGTGGAGCGCGAAGCTCGGGCTCGCGCTGCTCCGCGAGCGCGCGCTCGGCGCCAAGTCGCGCTTCGCGCCGTACGTCCGGCTCCTCCCGGCGGCGCATCAGGCGCGTTCGCATTCACACTGGTCCCCATAAAGACCGCGTTGGCGTGGTGAACGCCGTTTCTTAAGGACTTCGTTCGCCCGGCGCGTCTCTGCGCCCACCACCCCTCGCTGCTTTCAACGCTCGACCCTATGACGCCTATCAACTCCGCTTCTGACCCTAAACCCCTGAACTCCACCCTCCCCTTTCGGCGCGTCAGGGGATCCCGCTGTTTTTCTCGCCCGCCAACGCGGCGGCGTTGCAGTACCCGCCCGTCGCCGCCCAGCTCCGCCGCCGCGCGCGGTTCCTGATGGACTTCGCGGACGGCCCGCTGAAGCAGGCGTACGCGGAAGAGAAAAAGAAACGCCTTCTTCAGGAAGAAGATGGAACGTCAAACGTCGCGTACGCGTCGTCGCCGTTCGACGGGTACGCCGTGGAGGCGGACGCGTTGGGCTGGGCGACGGCGTGCGCGTCGTCGCGCGCGTTTCGCGTCCGCGGCCCGGACCACCCCGCGGCGTTCTTACCCCTGATAGACGTCGCAAACCACGCGTTCGACGCCAGCGCGGTCGTTCGACCGGACCCGGACGACGACGGCGCGGTCGAGCTCGTCGCCGCGAGGCGCGTTTTATCTCACCCTGGTTCCCATACGACCGCGTCGGCGTGGTGAACGCCGTTCCTTAAGGACTTTGCCCGGCGTCTCTCTTCGCCCACCCCCCGCGTTTAATCACCGTCCTCGGCGCCTTTCAACTCCAACTGACGCTTTTCAACTCCACCCCGACTTCAGGCCGTTGCGCGCGGGCGACGCGGTGACGCTGTGTTACGGCGCGTTAAATAACGACGCGTTTTTGCTCGACTACGGGTTCGTGCCGCGCGGGGGCGTTTTGGGGGAGGGGGAAGATGGAACGTCAACCGTCGCGAATTTCAGGGACGACGCGATCGATCTCAATCCGCACGATAGCGCGGGGCTCAGGTGGGACTTGGGGTTGTTGGAGGCTGCGAGGGAGGTCGCGGGGTTGAGCGCGACGCCGTTCGGGGTCTCGACGGGGGCGACTGTGAGAGGTCGCGGCGGCGGCGCGACGGCGGACGACGGCGCCGGGGATCCGTTCGCGCCGTGGCAGCGCCGCGCGCTCGCGGAGTTACGACTCGAGCGCGGTCCCGTCGGCGGGGAAGATGGAACGTCAACCGTCGCGCCGGACCAAGAGATTCTCGTGCGCGCGGACCCGCGGTCGCCGATCGACCACAGGATGCTCGCCGGCGTGCGGGTCCTGTACGCGTCCAAACCCGAGGACCTTCTCGGGCGCGGCGGCGGCCGTGGCGGCCAGGGGGAAGAAGATGGAACGTCAACCGTCGCGACGAATACGAATACGAGTACGAACGCGAACGCGCAGCGCGCGACCCCGCTGACGCAGGAGGAGCTCGGGGATCTGTGGCGCTCGCCGTTGGATCGCACGAGGGAGGCGTACGCGCTCAGGCGCGTTCTCCTTCACACTGGTCCCCATACGACCGCGTCGGCGTGGTGAACGCCGTTCCTTAAGGACTTTGCCCGGCGATTCTCTGCGCCCACCCCTCGGTTTCAATCCCGACACACTTCGGCGCCTTTCAACGCCGCTTCTGACGCCTTTCAACTCCACCCCGACTTCGCTTTGTATGGACCCTCGACCCTCAGAACGTGCCAAGCCGCGTTGGCGCTGGCGCTTGGAAATTTCCAGACGACGCTTCGAGAGGACGCCGTCGAGCTCGCGAAGCTTCGCGGCGAACGCGATCAAAGCGCGGGCGCGGCGCCCGGTCAACTCGGTCAACTCGGCAGCGGCGAAAGGAACGACGCGATCTGCGCGATCGAGTTCCGGATGGGGAAGAAAGAGGTGATCAAGAGAGGGATGGAGGCGATCGACGCGCGGTTGAGGGCGGTGTTGGCGGCGCCCGCCGCGCCCGGAGACTTTTCAGTCGTCCCTCCGAAGTAGTACTGCATGATAAGTCGTCTAGCGTGGGTGCGTGCGGCGTCTCGTGCGCCCAACCCTACCCTGTGCTCTGTATCGTAAACCCTAAACCCTAAACGATGAACCCTAACCCTGTGAACCCGACGCACGCCGCCTCGCCTCGTCGTCGTCGTCGTCTTCGTCCTCGGGCGGCGGCGGCCAGCCCAACGTCGTGCTCCCGGCTTCGACGTAGTGTTTGAAATCCGACGCGTTCGGCGCGCCGACGTCGTATAGGTATTTGAGCACGTCGATGTGCCCGTGCAGGCGCGCGTAGTAGCAGTTCCAGTCGTTCAGCGGCGCGCCTCTCTGGTGCGCCCACTTTAGGACGTCCAAGTGCCCCGCCGCGGCCGCTTGCGAGCACGCGTATCCCCACGGATAGCCTTCGCCGCGCAACCACTTCAGCAGGTGAAGCTTCCCGGCGCCTATGTGCGATACGATACGATACGACACGTGGATGACACGTGGAGGGACAACACGGTCGGTGAGCTCGCGCGTACTCAGATCGCGGATCAGATCCGGTGAGTGACGTGGCACAACGTGTGGCAACGAACGCGCGGACGCACCGGCGGCGTACGCGCAAAAAAAGTCCCCACTCCGATCGAGCGCGCTCTCGAGCAGCTCGCGCGCTCGTCCACCCGACAGCGCCTCCGGGAACCCCGCGTGTGACGTGAGCCACAGCACGCGGTTCACCTGCGTCCGCCAGCACGGGTTCAGCAGTCGCGCGGTCGAGAACGCGTTCGCGGGGAAAATCACGCGGCGCGGCAGCGCGGCGGCGTCCGCCTCGGCGAAGTACCACGCGCGCGAGACGAGGCGAAAGGTGGCTCGCGCGGAGACGTCGGGGACGCGCGCGAGGACGGCGACGGCGATGATGCGCTCGTCCGCGTACGACCTCGACGACGACGTCTCATCAGCGTCTCTCTCGACGTCGTCGTCGTCGTCGTCGTCGTCGCGCGCGGCGTCCATGGCGGCGGGGGGGGTGGGGGGGGGGGCGGCGCGCGTCCTCCTCTCTGCCGAACCTCGGACGAGGAGCCAGGCTCGTCGTGGAAACTCGAGGAAACCCTTCCGTCTGATGAGACCTTCACAATAGCAGGCGACGAGAGATGGCGGACCCGTCCCTCGCCGCGTTCGAGCGCCGCGCGGCGGAGGCGGAGCGTCGCCTCGCCGCGCTCGAGCTCAAGCTCGCGTCCCCCGGCGGCGGCGGCGGCGGTGGCAGCGGCGGCGCGAGCGGCGGCGACCTGCGCGCGTACCAGAAGAAAGTCGTGGCGATGCTGTATGATCTCCGCGCGGACCTGGGGCGCGCGCGCGCGACGACGAACGCCACGGAGCGACGCTGCAGATCTCTGGAGAAAGACCTCGAGGAGGCGCGCGATGTCATCCAGCGCAAGGACTACCGGATCCTGCACCTGTGCCGCGCGTACAGAGAGGCCGTGAAGGAGAAGTGGGACAACATGCCCGAGCTCGAGCCCGAGCCGTCTAATGATGGCGTCGACCCCGCGACGTTGCCGGGGTACAAGCCGAGCGCGGCGGCGGCGGCGCTCATGTCGGCGGAGGCGGCGGCGGCGAAGGAGGAGGAGGGGGAGAAGGAGGCGGCGTGAGGGAGGAGGGGAAGCGCGCGTAGCTAGCACGAGAAAGATGATTGAAAACGAACTCCCGGCCGCCGATCGATCGCGTGCCGTGCCGAAAACACTCTTCTCGCGCGCGCGCCGACCAGGCGCACGCTCCTCGTCCCCCCCCTCCGCATCCCTCTCCTCGAGAGCGTCATGGCGTCGGCGCTTCGCGAGGCCGCGAGGGCGTCGAGACGCGCGTGGAGCGCGACGGCGCGCCCCAGGATGCTCGACGCCGTCCGCGCGTGGACGCGCGATCGGGGAGAGATCGAGATCGGACGACGCGGCGGCGGCTTCGCGACGACCGCGCGAACCGAGTCCGGAGAAGAATCGTCGTCGAGCGGGACGAACCAGAACGGCGCTGCTATCCGCGAGTCCGTATCCCTGAAGCTCGGCCGCGACGGCGTCGAGACCGCGATCGCGTTCGAGACGGGAAGACTCGCGAGGCTCGCCGACGGCGCGGTCATGGCGAGCATGGGCGACAACCGAGTGATGTGCGCCGCGGTCGCCGCGAGAGAGCCGGACCCGAACGCGGGGTTCTTCCCGCTCAACGTCGAGTACCGCGAGCGCGCGAGCGCGTACGGGAAGATCCCGAGCACGTTCACGAGGCGAGAGGGCGCGCCGAAGGACCGCGAGGTGCTCGCGATGCGAGTCGTCGACCGCGCGATACGACCGCTCTTCCCAAAGGCGTTCCGCAACGACACGAGCGTGCAAGCCATCGTCCTCGCGAGCGACCGATCGCTAGACCCGAGCGTCCTCGCGGTGAACGGCGCGTCGGCGGCGTTGCACGCGTCGTCGATCCCGTGGAACGGGCCGGTCGGCGCGGTCCGCGTCGCGGTCGTGAACGACGGCGAGGTGATCGTGACGAACCCGGACGACGCGACGCGGGCGGAGAGCGAGTTTGAGGTGCGTTCTATCTCACACTGGTCCCCGTACGACCGCGTTGGCGTGGTGAACGCCGATCCTTAAGGACTTTCTCATCCGGCGCATCTCTCCGCCCACCGCTCGCTTTCAATCCCGACACACCTCGACGCCTTTCAACTCCATCTGACGCCTTTCAACTCCACCCCGACGTTCGTCGCTTCGTATGGACCCTCGACCCCGAGCTCCTCTACGCCGGCACGGAGGACAGGGCGCTGATGATCGAGGCGTCGGCGACGAAGAGAGGGGGGGTGCCGGAAGCGGTCGTCGCGAAGGCGTTGCGCGCCGCGCACGACGCCGCGAAGCTGCTCATCGCGCCGCAGCGGAGGCTGCGCGAGCGCGTCGGGAAGGAGAAGCGGCCGCTGCCGGAGGAGGCGGACGCGACGGCGGCGGCGGCGGCGAAATTGAAGGCGCTCGCCGTCCCGCGCCTGACGCGACTCTACGAGCTCAAAATTCAGAGCAAGTCGGAGCGCGGGCGGATGATGGCGGAGCTCAAGGCGGAGATCGCGGAGGAACTCGCGACGTCGCACGGGATGGAGCTAACGCCGCAGGCGCTCGACGCCGCGTACCTCGCCGCGAGCTCGCGCGCGATGCGCGATCTCGTTTTCGAAAAAGGTGTCCGCGTCGACGGGCGGAAACTCACCGAGCTGCGGTCGCTCGCCGCGGAGGTGGGCGCGATCCCCGTCGTCCACGGCTCCTCGGTGTTCGAGCGTGGGAACACGCAGGCGCTCGCGACGGTCACGATCGGCAGCGTGGACGACTTTCAACGCCTGGACGCGCCCGTCGGTCCGAAGAACAAAAAGTTTATGCTCCACTACGCGTTCCCGTCCTTCTCCATAAACGAGACGCCGCGGCGCGGCGGCTTATCGCGCCGAGAGATTGGCCACGGCGCGCTCGCGGAGAAGTCCCTCGCGGGGATGATCCCGGACGACGACGCGTACCCGTTCGCGGTGCGCGTCAACGCGGAGACGTTGGAGAGCAACGGGTCTTCTTCGATGGCCGCCGTGTGCGCGGGATCTCTCGCGCTGATGGACGCGGGCGTGCCCATCGCGGAGCACGTGGGCGCCATCTCCGTCGGGCTCGTCATGGACGAGGACGAGGACGGCAACGTGACGAGGCACGCGCTGTTGTCGGACATCATGGGGCTGGAGGACGTGTTGGGGGACATGGACTTTAAGATCGCGGGCACCCGAGGCGGGATCACCGGGATTCAGGCGCGTTCGTATTATTACACCGGTTCCCATACGACCCCGTCGGCGTGGTGAACGTCGATCCTTAAGGACTTGACTTCCCGGCGTCTCTCTCCGCCCAACAACCTTACGGTTTCAATCACCGCCAACGCCGCCTCCAACTGACGCCTTTCAACTCCACCCCGACGTTCGTTCGCTCGCGCGGACCCTCGACCCTCAGTTGGACTGCAAGCCGCAGGGCATCCCGCTCGACATCCTGTGCGAAGCGCTCGACGAGGCGTCCGTCGCGAGGAACCAGGTCATCGACGAGATGTACGCCGCGATCGCGAGGCCGAGGGAAGCGGACGAGATGTCCGCGTTCACGCCGCGGTACGCGACGCTCGAGATGGACCAAAAGTTTGTCGGCAAGCTCATCGGGCCGCAGGGCTCGACGATCAAGAACATCGAGGCGACGACGTCGGCGAAGATCTCCATCCGCCAGGCCGAGCCCGCCGCGGGCGAGCTCGCCGCGCGCGTCGGCATATTCGCCCCGTCGAAGGACGCGCTCGCGCTCGCGGTCGAGCAGGTGGAGCTTCTGACGAAGGAGGTGGAGAAGGGCGCGACGTACGGCGCGACGGTGATCGATACGAAGCCCTTCGGGTGGATCGTGCGCGCGCCGACGGGGTGCGAGGGCTTACTGCACGTGACCGAGTACTCGTGGGACGGCGGGTTCATCAGCGAGAGCGAGGTGGAGAGCCTGATGCCGGTCGGGACGGAGGTGGAGGTGAAGTGCGTGGACGTCAAGCCGGGGAGGAACGGGAAGACGGAGCGGTCGTTTTCGGTGAAGCAGCTGACGCCGCCGCCGGAGGGTCACGTCTCGCCGCCTCCGAAGCCGCGGATTGGGATGGGCAGGGGCGCCAGAGGGAGCAGCGCGGGGCAAGGGAGCGTCGGCGGCGTCGCCGCGGACCGGCCGAGCATCTACGTTCGAAACCCGGACGGGACGTTGAAGAAGCCGCTCCAGCGCATCGCAGACGCGGCGAAGTGATACGATGATACCGTACGTAGGCCGCCGGCGGATCGATCGTTCGAGTCGTCTGTCCGTCGTCTCGATTAAAATAATAAGTTTCCGTCGCCGGGCGTGAATGCATGACTTCGTCGGTCGGTCGGTCGATCGATCGATCGATCGCCTCGGCTACCTCCCGCCGCCGTTCCCGTTAAAATCCATTCTCTTCGCGAGCGGCTCCTCGACGAGGTCGTAGAACAACCGCCGCCGGTTCTTGATGATCGCGTCGAACATCGCGCCGGCGAACCGCGCCGCCGTCGCGCGCTGTTTCCCGTCGTTTCGCATCGTCTTCCCCGACCCCGCCGCCTTGACGCCGTCCAGCGCGTCCCCGTACCTCGCGCCGTCGCCCCTCACGACGCGATATAAATCGTCCTCCGCGCGCACCGCGGCGACGAACCCCGCGCCCGACGCCTCGAGCTCCAGCCGCAGGTCCCGGTCGTCGCGCGGGCCGTCGCTCCATCGCCACGCGTCCGCCGCCGACGGCGCGCGCCAGTCCCCGAGCGTCTCGTCCCTCGCGAACCTGTGGGTGAAGCGATCGGTCAGTCGAACGTCTTACCGGTCAAACGTTGAAAGGGAAGTGCGGGTGAAGAGTGACGACGGGGAAAGTCCTTAAGGAACGGCGTTCACATCGCGAACGGGGTCGTATGGGAAGCAGTCTCACACCTCGCCAGCCGCGCGCGCGTCTCCATCTCCTCTCGAACCGCGTCCGGGATCGGCGGCGCGGCGGCGGCGGCGGCGGCGGCCTTCTCTGCCGCTACCGCGGCGGCGTCCGCGGCGGCGAGCTCCTCCTCCTCTCTCGCCTTGGCTTCTCTCTCTTCGCGGACGCGCGCTTCGTACGCCTCTTTGCTCTCCCGCGTGCCCTTCCGCTCGCCCCAGGACACGTCGCTGTCGTACCCGCCGCCGCGGATTTCGCCGTCCTCGTCGCCGGCGTCAGAGCCTTCCGCCTTCTTCGCGTCGGCTTCGTATTTCGCGGCGGCGATGACCTCGATCGCCCACCGCGGGATGATGAGGTCGCCGGGACGCTTCTTCTCCGCCGCTTCAACCGCCGCCGCGCGCATCGCGTCGCGATCTCTCGGGTCGACCGGCCCCGAGGTCGCCGCGCCTCTTTTTCCCCCCTTTCCCTTTCCTTTCGTACCAGGCGATCTCGTCGTCGCGTCGATCGGTCTCGTCGGGATCTCCACCGGCTTCGCGGGTTCGAACACCGGCGGTTGGCCGTTCGTTGCGTGCGCCTTTTTCGGGAGCTTCGCCGCGCCGCCGTCGCCGTCGCCGCCGTCGTCCCTCGCGCGCTTCGTCCCACCCCCACCACCGCCGCCGCCGCCGTTTCCGCCCTCTTTACCTAGCCGCGACGGCGACGGGTCGGACGACGGCCCGCCGCCGCCGCGGCCGCCGCGATCGGTCGCGGGGGAGCTCCCGCCGGATGCGCTCCCCCCCATCCCTCCGAGGTGTAAGAAACTCCCCTTGGTCGCCATTCCGCCGCCTTTCTCGCCGCCGTCGCCCTTCCCGCCCTCCTTCCCGCTCCCGATGTCGCGAACGAACGCGATGAGCTTCTCGCCGAACTTCCCCTCGCGCATCATCCGCTTCACGCGGTCTTCCACGGACTCTTTGTAGACGTATTTCGCGCGAATCTCCGCGGGGAACTTCTTCGCGTCCTCGGCGTCGCGGCGCGCGATGGGATCCCCGGTCTCCTCGTCGTCGTCCTCGCCGCCAGCTGTACCGCCGCCGCCCGCGGTGTTTCTCTTCGACGGCGCCTCCGCGGCGGCGATCGCGGCGGCGACGTCGATCTTCCCCGCGCTCTTCCTCGCTCTCATCTCCCCCAGCGTCGTCCACCGCTCCTCCCCGGACCGCGTCACCTTCAGATCGTCGGTGATGTAACGCGCGTCGAGCCACTGCGCGAGGTGCGACCACGGGTACGGGCCCTGGACGTTGTTCTGAAGGTCGACGTAGAAGTACGTCTCCATGCCCGCGTCGTCGTTCGGACCGACCGGGGCCCCCATGGTGACTCCGCGCGGCGTGCGGTCGCGCCCGCGCGAGTGATCGTCGCAACCCTAAGAACGTCGGATTCCGCCTGCAGAAACGATGAAGTCGTCGCGCGAGCTTCAAAAAAGCGCACGGCATCGTTATTCCCCTCTCAGTGCCACGGCCGCGGCCGGCCGATGGCGGTCTCCGTGTGGCGCGCCGCGACGCTCGCGCGCGTCGTCACCCTCGCCGCGGTGTTTCTCTTCGACGCGCTCGTGCCGGATTACGACACGTCCGCGCGGCACTCGTCGTCGTCGTCGTCGTCGTCGTGGGCGTGTCGCGCGGTCGAGGGAGCGATGACGTGGGATTCGGTGTACTACCTCGATATCGCCGCGCGCGGGTACGCGCACGAGCAGAACCGCGCGTTCTTCCCGGCGTACCCGATCGCGATGCGCTTCGTCGAACGCGCGACGCGCCTCGGCGGCGGCGGCGAAAGCGAACCCTCGCGCTGCGGCCTCGCGACGAGCGCGCTGATGATCTCGAATCTCGCGCACGTTCTCGGCGCGGCGACGCTCGAACACCTCGGCCTCGCCGTCGTCGGCGACGCCGCGCTCGCGCGCGCGGCGGCGCTGCTGTACGCGTTCAACCCCGCGAGCGTGTTCCACGGGGTCGCGTACACGGAGTCGCTCTTCGCGCTCGCGTCGTTCGTCGGATGCCTGTGCGTCGCGCGAGGGAGGCGAAACATCGCGACGGCGGTCTTCTTCGTCGCGGCGGCGACGCGAAGCAATGGCGTCCTCCTGGCGACGCACCTCCTCTGGGATCTCCTCGACCGCGTGATCCTCCGCGCGTGGGGGAAGAGCGCGTTCGCACGGAAGCGGCGCGCGATCGAGACCCCGGGGAGCGAGATCGGGGTGTCGCCGCCCGCGGAGGACGACAGCGCCGCGAAGGGCGCCGCCGGGAAAGTCCCGGCGCGCTTCGCGGACGCCGCCGCCTATTCCGCCGCCGGGGACGCGATGAAGCTCCTCGCGTCGATCGCCGCGTGCGTCGCGCGGTGCGGCGTCGTCGCGCTCGCGCCGTACCTCGTCGACCGCGACGCGCGGAAGGCTTACTGCGGCGCCGGGAGGAGAGTGGGCGACCGGAGGCCGTGGTGCGACGACGCGCGGACGCCGGCGTACGCGTTTATTCAGTCGCGGTACTGGAACGTCGGCTTTCTGAGGTACTTCGAGCGGAAGCAGCTCCCGAACTTTCTCCTCGCCGCGCCGATGCTTGTCGTCGCGTCGCACGCGACGTGGCAGCACTTCTGCGGGACGCAGTCCAAGCGCGAGCGACGCGACGCGTACGGCTTGCACGGAAGAAACGCGCGCGCGCACTTCATCGTGTGCGGCGCCGTCGCGTTCGCGTGCTTCTTCTTCGCGCGCGTCGAAGTCGCCACGCGGTTGCTGTCCACGTCGCCCGCGGTGTACTGGCACGTCGCGCACCACGGCCGAGGCGGCGGGAGCCGGTCGTTCACGCACGACTCGGAGGACGACGCGGAGTCGTTCGGCGCGAACCGGGAGAGGTTTCAGAGGGCGTGGTGCGTCTATTCGTTGTCGTACCTCGCCGTCGGCGCGCTGTTGTTTCCAAACTTTTACCCGTGGGTGTGAGACTGTGATGGCAGAGCCCGGGACAGTGAACCAGAGAGCCATCACTGTCCGGTCAAGCCATCACTGTAGGATAGTTCGCCGACGGGAGTAGCTAACTAAGCGGTAGTATTTCTATGTAAAAGAAGGTAGCGGGGTAGGACGACGCATCCATCACCCGTCGACGTCCATCGCTTTTTCTCTCTCCTCCTCCTCCTCCTTATCCTCCGTCTCCTCGCGCGTCGCGCCGTCGATCGCGCGCCGCACCGTCGCTCGCAGCGCGTCGTTCGGCGGGTTTCCCATCGTCGCCTCCGCCGCCGCCGCGTCCGCGCGCAACTTCGCGAGCGCCGCCCGCTTCTCCCGCACCTGCTCCGACAGCACGTGCTCCAGCGTGCTCCGCGCCTGCGACGGCCGTATCGAGTTGAGCAGATGATGCATGTTGTTCAGGAGCAGCGTGATCTCTTCGACGCGACGCGCGTACGTCGACGGCGCCGCGCGCGTCGCGTCGACGAGCGCGACGAATCGCGCGAGCGTCTCCGCGTTCAATCGCTTGAGCTCCTCGCGCAGGTCCACGCCCTCGCCCTCGCTGAGATACAGCTTGCTCTGCTCGAACGGCGGGTCCGAGATGACCGTCTGCGTGGGGGTGGGGTGTGGGGGGTGGGGGGGATGATCGGTCGGCGGGAGGCGCGGACGGATCGATCGGTCGATCGATCGGTCGGATCTGCGCGCGCTGGAGGGCGGGAAGGATGGATTTGATTCGACGACGACGGGCGGGGGGACGGCGCACCGAGTGACGCTCGCCGTAGACGACGTACTCGCCCACGACCGGCGCCGGTGGCGGCGGAGGCGGCGTCGTCGCGTCAGGGGCGTAGAGCTTGTAGAACCCCGGGGGTGGGGGGTACGTCGACGACATGACCGCGCCGCCGTGCCGCCCCCACTGACGCTCGCCGTTCGGAGAAGTTCGAGGAAATTTTCTGCGAGTTCGCTGCTGCTTTCAAACGAGACCTAAAAAGCCACGACGGCTGCTTCGCGCGGCGCTTTTCCTCGCGCCGCCGCACGTCGCGATGCCGAAGGTGAAGCTGCCGCGGAAGCTCCGCGATCTCGCGAAGACGGCGAAAAGCGGGTGCGGGGAGGCGGCGTACGCGATCGCCGAGCACTACCTCAACGGGACCGGCGGCGTGGAGAAAAACGACGACCTCGCACGTCAGTGGCTCGAGAAGGGCGCGGAGCTGGGGAACGCTGACGCGCAGAGATTTCTCGGCTTCGGATACAACACAGAAGGTGATCACGACGCCGCGTTGAAGTGGTACGAGAGAGCCGCGGCGCAGGGTCACACCAGCGCCATGTACAGCCTCGGCTTTCTCTACAAAGAAGGCGAGGGCGTCGAGCAAAACATAACGACGGCAGCTGAGTGGTGGCGGAGGGCCGCGTGTAAGGGTCATGCTCCATCCCAATGCAACTACGGGGCTTATCTCGCCGACGTGACGCTCGAGTACGAAGAGGCGATGACGTGGTACGAGAAAGCCGCGGCGCAAGGCGTAGCGAATGCAATGTGCAACATCGGGGATATGTACTACCACGGCAAAGGCGTGCGGCCCGACTCGTCGAAGGCGCGGGAGTGGTGGGAGAAAGCCGCCGCGCTGGGACACGAAGTCGCGAAGAATACACTGACAAGACATACCACGGAAGATTTGGAACATTCGCTGAATCGCACTGCTGTGCTTGATGATACCAACTTTGTGCTTCAAGAGAAATGGCTCAGGAATGCCGTGGCAGAGAGGGGTGACAAAAAAGACGTGGATCTTCTCAACTACGTCCACGCCGCAAAAAAAAAAACGCTTCTCGATGCCATGGAACTCTCCGGGTTGCAGATGACCGACGAGGCTGTGGAGCGCTACGTCTCTGGACCTCTTCCCGACCACGATGCGTGTGGTAAATTTGATAATCTCGCGCGTTGCTTCCTCCACGGAAGGTGCGGACTCGAGAAGAACCTTCGGTTGGCCAAGGAGATGTTCAAAGTTGCCGAAATTTACTACCCGGACAACGCTGCCGTCGCCGAGGAGCTCGTGAAACTTCGCGCGTGCGTCACGTGTGGCAGGACCGACGCTCGCTGGGGATGCAAGCTGTGCCGCGGCGTGCGGTACTGCGACAAGCGGTGCCAGCAGCGCGACTGGAACCGCGGCGATCCGCCGCACAAAGAAACGTGCGCGCGCGTCGTGCACATGTTTCCTCCCGGATTTTTCGGGGCGCTTCGCGAAAAAGTTGCGAAGGAGGAAGAAGCGTCGGCCTGAACTACGACAGCAATCACGACAGCACCACGAATTACGCGCATGTAATGAACGAACGAACGAACGAACGAACGAACGACGCGACGCGCGATTCATCAGCGTTTTATACTCGCGATAGTTTTCGTGTGCACGCGCAGTCGTTTCTAAATTCTAAACTCGCCGCTCATCGCTCCACGCGTCCACCGCCGCCGCCGCGGCGCGCCGACGGACCATCTTCATGTCCGGTAACGCCTCCCACGCGGGCGTTTCGCTACTGTCTCTAATCCATCCGCGAACGTCGATACGAAACGCCGCGCCGGTCCATCTCCCGACCGTGCTCCCGCCGATCGCGTACACGCGTCCCCCTTTCGCGGCGCACGCGAACCCGTACCACTCCGGCAGCGGCAGCGGCGATATCAACGCGTACGCGTCCTCGGCGGTATCGTACCGCCACAACGCGCCGGTTTCTGTCGTCGCGGGCGCGGCTTTCGCCCGCGGCATTTCGAGTTCCGTCGCCGCGGGGACGGGCTGCGGCGCCGCGTCGCGATCGCCGCCGCCGCCCTCCGCCGCCGCCGCCGCTTTCGCCGCAGCCTTCTCCGCCTTCCTCCGATTCTTCTCCGCTCGGTTCTTACTCACCTCCTTCACCGCGCCCAAGCCCCCCTTGCCGCCGCCGCCGCCGCCGCCGCCGCCTTCCTTATCCGCGCCCCACGTCAGCACGTACACGACGTCGTCCTCGTCCACGCACGCGCACGCGCACGCGCCAGTGGGCAGATCCCGCGCGTACCTCCACTCGTCCGCCGCCGGGTCGTACGCCTCCGCGGAGGACGTGGGTCCGACCCGCGCGTCGTCGCTGACTCTGCCTCCGAACACGTAGACGCGCCCATCGGATAACCCCGCGGCGGCGTGGAGCTTACGTGGCGTGTTGAGAGGCGCGAGAGACCGCCACGTGTACGACGACGACGACGAGGACGTATCCCGGAGATCCAGAAAATCCACGGCGCCGACGCACGCGTCGCCGTTCGCCCACCCGCCCGTCGCGCACACGCCCCAGTCGCCGACGCTGCACCCCGCGACCGCGTGCCTCGGCACGCGCACGCTGCCGGCGGGGGTCCAGCGCGGCCGGTCGGGGGCGTCGGGGGGGTGGTCGGTCGTCGATGCGACCGCGCGCAGCGCCTCCGCGCAGCCGAGGTTCTGTAGTGTAGTAGAGGAAGTACGTAGTACTACGCGCGGTCAGTCGATGGGTTGAACGGTCGCGTTTGAAACCAAAAGACGAACGGGTGAACGCGTGAATGGAGAAACCAAACCAACGAACGCGCACCGACTTGACCCCGCCGCCAGCGACGGCGTAGACGACCCCCCCGCACGCCGCGAGCGCGTGCGACCCCCTCGGGTGCTCCATGTGCGGCCCCCGCTCCCATCGGCCGCGCGCGATGGAATAACGCTCCGTGACGCCGACCGTCCGCCCGCGGTTGCGCCCCCCCGCGACGTACACGTACCCGTCGTCGTCGTCGACGGCATCGCCATCGCCCGACGTGATAGCAGCCCTACTAGTAACGCCCGCGGTGCCGTCGTTCGGGTCGCGAATCGGCGCCGCGCCCGGGGCGAGCCCTTCGCTGACGACGGCTCGGTCCCGCGCGCGTCTCGCGTCGTCGCACGCGCTCGCGACGTGCCCCGCCTCTCCGCACCAGTGGCATCGCTCGTGGTCGTGCGGGCACGCGTCGCCGCGAATGCGCTTCAGGCATCCTTGCTTCGAGTAGTTATGAAAGCGGCACGCCTCGCGCGTTACGCCGTCGGCGGCGCTCGTCACGAACCTCGGGGGGTACTTCAGCGGGTACCGGTCGAAGACGCCCGGCGCGGCGGGCGCCGCGGACTTGGCCTCGTGCGTCCTCTTGAACGCGCTCCTCGCGCGGACGTTCTTCGTCTCCCTGACGCAGACATCGTTCCAGAAACGCATCGGGAGGGGGCGTTCGTTGAGCGCGTCATCAGGGTGCGGCGCGGCTGCCACGACCGCGACGGCTTCGTCGTACAGCGCTTCGCATTTCACGTCATCAGGGTGCGGCGCGGCGGCCGCGACCGCGACGGCTTCGTCGTACAGCGCTTCGCATTTCACGACCACGACCCTCGGATCCGCGGACTTCGCGATGGACGGCAGCAGCCGCACGAGCGCCTCCGCGGGTCGCACGCCTCCGATGTCGACGAAGACGCACGCCGCGCCGGCGAGATGCCGCGCGAGGAGCGCGGGGTCCTCGAGCGCGTCTAGGCGCTCGAAGCGGATCGTTGGATGCCTCGACCGCGACAGCTCCACGAACGCGGCGCTGACGTCGACGCCGACGACGAGCGACGCGTCACCGACCGCGGCCGCCAGCGCGGCGGTCGCGTCGCCGTGCGCGCTGCCGACGTCCGCGCACCGCTCGCCCTCGCGCGGGACGCGTCGCGCGAGCGCGCGATACGTCGCGGTGGAGCGACACAGGACGACCGATCTCGAGCTCGACGAGTCGTCGCGATGGAGATGGAGTCGCGACGCGACCGCGGCGGCGGTCGCGGCCGCCCCGCGCGCGTCCTCGCCGCCGCCGTCGACGCGCTCGCGCGCGACGACGAAGACGCGCGACTCGAGCGCGCGCGTCGCCGCGGCGATCGCGTCGGCCTCGTCGTCGTCGTCCATCCCGGAGGGAGACCCCCGACCCCCGCGGCGGCGGAAGTGCGTCAATCTCGGCACCGCGCGCGTTCGTCGTTCATCGACGTCTCGGAATAAACGCATCTGTCGAGGTTATCCATTCGTCTCCCGCGCGCGCCTCGCCTCGCCTCGCCTCGCCTCGCCTCGCGCGACAGACGAGACATGGTCCTCGACACGCGCGTGACGCGCCTTCTCGGGATCGAGCACCCGATCATCCAGGGCGGGATGCACTACGTCGGGTACGCGGTCCTCGCCGCCGCGGTGTCGAACGCGGGCGGTTTAGGCACGGTCACGGCGCTCACGCAGAAATCTCCGGAGGATCTGCGCGCTGAGATCCGACGCGTCCGCGCGCTCACGTCGAAGCCGTTCGCGGTGAACCTGACGCTCCTGCCGTCGCTCGCGCCGCCGGACTACGGCGCGTACGCGCGCGTGATCGTGGAGGAGAAGGTGCCGGTCGTGGAGACCGCGGGGCGGAACCCGGCGGAGTGGATCACGTTCTTCAAAAAACACGGAATACTCGTGATACACAAGTGCGTCGCGATCAAACACGCGCTGACCGCCGAGAGGCTCGGCGCGGACTGCATAAGCATGGACGGGTTCGAGTGCGCGGGGCACCCCGGCGAGGACGACGTCGGGAACTATGTGCTGCTCGCCAAGGCGGCGAAGAAGTTGACGATCCCGTTCGTCGCGAGCGGCGGCGTCGGCACCGGGAGCCAGCTCGCGGCGGCGCTCGCGCTCGGCGCGGAGGGCGTGAACTGCGGCACGCGGTTCATGGCGACGACCGAGGCGCCCATCCACGACGGAATCAAGCGCGCGCTCGTGAAGGGCGACGAGCGGAGCACGACGCTCGTGATGCAGAGCGTCGGGAACACGGAGCGCGTGTTTAAGAACAGGGTGACGACGGAGGTGCGGGAGATCGAGAAGAGAAACCCGGGGAAGATCGAGGCGATTCGTGAGCGGGGAGAATTACCGGAAGAGTTTTCAGGAGAGCGGCGACCCCGACAGCAGCGTGTGGAGCGCGGGGATCGTCATGGGGCTGATCGACGACGTCCCTTCGTGCGACGCGTTAGTGAAGAGGATGGTCGCAGAGGCGGAGGAAATCATCACGGGGCGGCTCGCCGGTTTGGTGCGAGGGCGGTCGAGGCTGTGACGCGCGCGAGTTGAAGTCGAAGTCGGCGGCGTCCATTTCGTTAATAAACCTTCGTCGGTTGAGCATGCATAATTTACATCATCGCGATCTCTGTGTTCCCTCCCATCGCGCATCGCGGACGACGATATGTACAGGCGGGCGAAAACTCGCACTCGCACTCGTCGTCGCATCGCGTCGCGTCGCGTCGCGTCGCCCTAACGGTCCAGTCCTCGGCGCGGCGGCTCTTCGGACTCGCCCATCACATCATCTCGCGGGTTCACATCACCTCACGCCAACCCGAGCGCCTTGAGTTCCTTCTCCGTCGCCGCGTCCGTCGCGAGCAACGTAAACGCGAACGAGTTGATGACGAGCGTGTTCCCGACGTAAAAGTCCCGCGCGCCGTACGCCGTCGTCTTGCTCCCGGGCTTCTTCACCGGTTCGAACGTCCGCTCGAGGAACTTCCCGCCGACGTGCCCGCTGTTCTTCATCGGCGGCTCGTACACCGAGACGGTGCCGTCGACGAGGTAGTACGTGATGACGAAGCGTCGGTCGACGTCCACGGATAACGTCCCGGGGGCGGGCGGGTGCGCGGCGGTAAACGTCAGCGTCCGCCCGTCGTTCTTCTCAAAGTTTATCACATCCTTCGGCGGACGTCGCGGGACCAGCGACACGCAGTTGCGGAGGGAATCCTCCTCGCTGCCGATGCCGTCGTGCGGCGGCACGGGCGCGACTTTCCTCGCGCGAGCGCCGTCGTCAACCGCCCGCGGCGCCATCTCCGCGAGCGTCCTGCCCTTTTCCTTGACGAAATACCCCCGCGTGAACTCGTCCACGTCGTAGACGGTCAAATCGCGGCCGTACACGCCGACGACGCCGCCGACGCGCAAGTCGTCGACGGTGACGTAGCCGCCGGCGCCGTTGGCGCCGCCGCCGGGGGGACCGACGGCGAACCCGCCGCCAGACGGGAGCATCGACCGCGCGAGCATCTTCGGGAACGGGTCGCGCCCGCGGTTGTGAATCCCCGTGGACTCCAACACCTCGATCGTGCCGTCGCTGAGGTAGTAGTTCAGGGTGTATCGCACCAGCGCGCCGCCCTCGTTCGCGCGGTCGTCCCACGCGCAGAAGAATCGCAGCACGCGTCGGTCGAACCGGTCCTTCTTCGGGCCGTTCTATACAAGCGAACGTCGGGGTGGAGTTGAAAGGCGTCAGGTGGAGTTGAAAGGCGTCGAGGACGGGTATTGAAAGCGTGGGGTGGGCGGAGAGAAACGACGGCGAAAGTCCTTAAGGATCGGCGTTCACCACGCCAACGCGGTCGTATGGGGACCAGTGTATAGAACGCGCCTTAGTCTCCGCCGCCGCGCCGGCGACGACGACGCCCAGCGGCGACGCGTTCGCGTTCGCGTCTTCGAACACGCGCTTCCCGCCGACGCCACGGAGACCCATGCCGATCGTGCCGAGCACGCTCGGGCCCTCGTCGATCAGCCCGTCGGGGATCTCCGTGTTCGGCGCGAGGACGACGCCCTCGCGCGCGAGAAACTCGCGCGTGAAATCGTCGCACGCCGTGACGTTGTACTCGCGTCCGTAAATCACGACGGGCTCGCCGACGCGGAGGTGGTGAAACGTGAGGTCGCGCCCGTCGCTCGCGACCGCGCGGTGACGCTTCAGGAGCTTCCCTTGGTCCAGCCCGCTGTTGTCCACCCTCGGTTCGCACACGTCCACGGTGCCGTCTTCGAGGTAGAATCGAATCGCGCACGATCGCACGCGCTCGCGGCCGTCGACGCTGGGCTCGACGAAGTACGCCGCGTACGCGAGCTGCTGCGCGTCGTACGCGACCCACACCGGGATGCTGCTGCCGTCGCCGAGGTGCATGTCGCCGAGCGCGGCGACCGCGGGCGCGCCCGGCGGCGGCGGCGGTTTGTTTTGCGGGTCGACGGCGACGTCGCGCTTGGCTTTGGTCGTCGCGGTGAAGCCCGCGGTGCGTTGGGTCATCGGGCGCACTTCCGCCTGGAGGGATTTGGAGGAGAGATTTGGAGGGTTGGCGTCGGCGGGTTGGCGTCGGCGCGAGGGGTTGGGTTGTCGCGGGAGGAAGGAAGGAAGGAAGTGATGAACGATGACGCGCGGAACGCCAGCTTTATAATGCGAAAAAAGCGAACGAGACGGCGACGTGCCTCGATCTCCGCGTCGACCTCCATGCGCTCGGTGCGCGGCCGCGCCGGGTGCGCCTGCTCCGGGAGCCCCGCGACGCGGATCGTGCCGTTCTTGTACGCGAGCGTCTGCGGGATCATCTTCGGGGGAATCTGCGGGAGCGCGGGGGGAGGAGGGGGGCGAACGCGCGTCAGGTGGACGGCTCCACCGGTCGCGACGTCTAATCTCTCGGAACGGGGGAACGAGCCGCGGACGCGCGAAGACGCGCGCGATCGCCGAGGGTCGCTCCGCGCGCGCGCACCCGAGGATCGACGAAGCTGTACCCCGGCAGCTTCGGGAGCGCGTTCACGTCGAGTGACACCATGGTGGGCGCGGCGTCGGTGCGCGGCGACGTGTGCGGCGCGTCGCGACCCCCGCAGCGCCCGTCAACATCGCAGATTTCGCCGTGGTGTCGGAAACGCCGTCGCGTCGGTTTCACGAGTACTCATACTAAAAACCCATAGAGTAAAAATACATGTAGTACGGTTATTTCGTATGGGCATTTAGTGCGATGAGAGTACGTGTACATCGATCAGGAACAAAATCCTTCTTCGACGCTTCGTCCTCCTTCGATCGTCCTCCTTCGCCCCTCGTAGTCCGCCCGCGCGCGCCGCACGACCGAAGCGCCACCGTTCGCGACCATGGGCGGCGGGTTCGATTACAGCAAGTGGGACAAGCTCGAGCTCTCGGACGACGAGGACGACCACCCGGGCGCGCAGTTCATCGAGGCGAACACGCTGCGGCGGATCAAGCGGCAGTCGCACGAGCAAAAGACGGAGGAGAAGAACCAGAAGATCCAATCGCTGATGGGCGAGATGAAGGACGCGCTGAAGACGATCGCCGCCGTCAAGCACGACGCCGGGGACGCGCCGCTGACGGAGGAGCAAGAGCTGGCGACGAGGGCGGCGCAGGAGAAGCACGACGCCGCGAGAGCGGCGATCGACGCGGAGGAGAGAGAGCGGAAGTTCAACGCGGAGGAATGGTGCCACGTCTCGAACACGTTCGACCGCTCGCTCGTCGGCGCCGCGTGCGTCGCGGACGAGGGCGAGGAGGAGTTGGAGTACGAGCCGTACGTGAAGAAGTACGGCGAGCAGCTCGAGGAGGTGGCGCGCGCGAACTTCAACGATTACGCGGACATGGCGGAGCACTTTCAGGCGCGTTCTATACACTGGTCCCCATACGACCGCGTTCGCGTGGTGAACGCCGATCCTTAAGGACTTTGCCCGGCGCGTCTCTCCGCCCACCCCTCGCTTTCAATCCCCGCCATCGACGCCTTTCAACTCCAACTGACGCCTACGAACTCCACCCCGACGTTCGCTTGTATGGAATCGCCCTCAGCTTCGAACGCATCTGCTCACGGAGCACAGCATGGGATGGATGCTTCTGAAGTGTCTCTTCCTGGAGATGGACGGCAAGCGCGACGAGATGCGAATCGCCGCGAAGGTTGGGTACGCGCTGAAGTGCGTGCTAGACTTCGCGGAGGCGGGGGGGAAGACGATGAAGGACGCGGCGCGCCCGTTCTTCACGAGGCTCGCGACGCACCCGGAGGTGCTGACGGAGTACCACAAGAGCCTCGACGATTACGTCGATAAGGTGCGTTCTATCTCACACTGGTCCCCATACGACCGCGTTCGCGTGGTGAACGCCGATCCTTAAGGACTTTTGCCGTCGTCTCTCTCCGCCCAGGGTCCCACGGTTTCAATCCCCGCCCTAGATGCCTTTCAACTCCACCTGACGCCTTTGAACTCCACCCCGACGTTCGCTCGTATGGAACGACCCTAAGCTCGTACAGCGCGCGAAGGAAAAGAAACTCGAGGAGGAGGCGGAGAAGTTCGCGGCGCAGAGCTCGCTCGCGCAGGCGGCCGCGATCGACGAGGTCCCGCGCGAAGAACGGCTGGGCCCCGGCGGGTTAGACCCCGTGGAAGTCTTCGACTCGTTGCCGAAGGAGATGCAAGACGCGTTCGAGTCTGGGGACGTGGACAAGCTGCGGGAGTTCGTCAACGGGCTCTCGATGGACGAGGCCAGGCATCACATGAGACGGATGGTGGACGCTGGGTTGTGGGTGCCGAAGCCGGGGGAGGAAGGGTCCGCGCTGCAGCCGGGGCCGGACGCGACGGAGGAGGATGAGGAGGAGGAGGAGGAGGAAGAAAAGGACGCGTGATGAGACGGCGGCGAGAGAACGCGCCGACGTAATTTGACGACGAATCCTTACGTTAGTCTATCGTCTCTCGCGCGTCGCTCGCCTCTTCTAGTCGATCATCGATATCCGTCTACTACCCCCGCGCCTCCTATCGACGCTATGAACGCCTCTATCTCGGGCGCGTATATCACCCCGTCGCCGCCGCCGCCGCTCGACGCTCCGCCTTCCGCGTACAACACCAGCGGCGGCGCCACCCGACGAAGTTCCGAAGCCGCCTCCGTCCCGTCCGGAAACCGCGCGTCGACCAGCGCGAGCGTCGGCGCGCCGTCCGCCTCCGCCTTCGCGTCGTGGTATACGTACCGCGTCGTCGTCTTACGCAGCCCGGCGGCGTCGACCGCGTCCCAAGCGTCGCGGACACGATCCGCGGGGTAGATCACGTGCATCGAAGCGGCGTTCGTTCTCTTCTCCCTCCCCCTCTCCTCTCCCTCGGGCCCCTCTCCTTCTCCCTTCCCCCGCCGCAGAAGCCTCGCGCCCGCGGCGGCGAACGCGCGAAACGTCCCGCCGCCGCGCTCGTAGTGCGCGTCTTCGCGCTCGATCGTCCCCGGCGCGGTCCCTCGCGCCTTACCCTCGTCCGCCGGGTAGTACGGCGGGTTACACGCGACGACGTCGCACGTCCCCGCCCACGCGGCGGCGACCGCCGACGACGACGACGAATCGCCGTCCGACACGTCAGCGCATAGATTCGCCACGTCAGCGCGTATCGTCACCGCGCGTCGGTCCACGCCGTTCGCGATCGCGTTCCGCGCGCACCGTCCCGCGAGGCGCGGTTGCTTCTCGACGAGGAGCACCTCGGCGGACGCGTTCGAAGCGAGGAGGGAAACGCCGACGACGCCGGCGCCCGCGCCGAGGTCCGCGATCCGCGTCGGTCGACGTTCCATATTCTCCCTCCGCGACGGTTCGCATTCCTCCTTCTCCTCCTCCGCCGCCACCGCCGCCGCCGCCTCCTCCTCCGCGAGGACGCGAGAGACGTGCGACGCGAGGACGAGCGAGTCGACGTTGCATCGGTACCCGCGCCGCGCTTGCACGAGGAGCAGCCGGTGGCGGTACAACACGTCCAGGGTCTCGTCCTCTCGAGGGGCGACGGAGGAGGCGGAAGATGAAACGTCGACCGCCGCGGCCTCCAGGACGTCGCACTGGCGTCTCGCGAACGCGCGGAGGGACGCGTGCAGCGGGCCTCCGAGCGCCGCGCGCGTCGTCTCGACGAGGGACGACGACGACGACGGCGACGGCGTCGTCGTCGCGTCGTCGTCGGCGTCGTTCGCTCTGAAGATCTCTCGTCGCAGCGCCGCGAACGCCGCGAGCGCGTCGGGGGTGACCGGGACGCTCTTCTTCAGCGGGCCCTTGCTCGGCGCAACAGCCGCGGCCGCGTCCGCGGAGGAGGAGGAGGAGGAGGACGACGACGACGGCGGCGCGCTCGCGCGAAGAAATCCGCGACGGCGTGTTCGACACGGCGGCGCCCCTCGGACGGCTCGCGCTCGCGACGCCGCGGCGGCCGCCGCCGCGCGCATCGCGACGGAAGAGCGCGCCGCACTCGTCGACGCGAGGAGCGCGCGTGGCATACGCGGGGAGCGCGAGACGCCCTCGACGCCGGCGGCGCGCGCGGAGCTATGGCGAGACGACCGCGGGGGAGGCGTCGTTTGTGCATGATAAATTCTGCTTTCATCAGTCAACACGAGCTACTAGACGACGACTCTGTACCGGACCGACCGACGCGAGAGCTAGAGAGGGACGGCGCGGGCGCGCGGGCGAGCGAGCGAGCGACGACGACGACGACGACGAAACGAGCGAGCGCGTGACGCGCGGGCGTCGAGAAGCCTTCAGGTTAACCATCGTGTAATGGTCTTTCAGCACGGAGGGAGGAGCGATCGAGACGAGACGAGTCGACGCCCCTCCTCGTCAGATCTCCGTTCTTCGATACATTCATCAGGCGTGAGAACGGAGACGTCGCCGCCGCGGCGAGCGCGGCGGCGCGTGTTGACCCCGGAGTGCCTCCCCGCGCGTCGGCGGCGCCGTCCAGCCGTCGTCCGACTCCTCCAGCTCGCGCTCGCGCCGTCGACTCGCATTTTGCGCTTGAGTGATTCTTCGCATCTTCGGACGGGCGCGCGCGGCGCGCTCGCGTCGCGCGCGCGATGGTCCTCAGCTTGAAAACGTGTTCACGAGTGCGCTCACGGTCGCGGACGAAGGCGGCGCGGAGAGGGAGGAGGGAAACGAAAGCGGTTGCGCCCGCGCGCGCGCGGGGAGACACTGATGACAGAACTGAAGAAGCCACGGTCGCGGTCGCAGAAGCGAGCGATCGCTGATGACCCCGCCCCGGGCGCCAGTTACCACTGCAGTGGACCGACAAAAGGAGCAGTCGCGGCAGCCGGCGGGTTCCCGCGTCGATGAACCTACGCGTTTATTATTCACAACGACGAGAGGACCGCGACGGCGCCGACGCCGACGCGGTCCTCCGCTAAAAAATCACCCTCGAGCGGCGCGACCTCCTCCCCGTCCGCCCCGCCTAGCACGGCTGCGCGAAGTGAACGAATGAATTCGCACTGAAGAAGCAATAAATACTGATCGATCAAATCACGCGGTCATGAGCCCCTTCTCCTTGCGAAGCTCGTGCTTGTACTTGGACATCCTCGCCTTCCTGCGCGCGCCCGTGTTCTTGTGCAGCACCCCCTTCGCCACCGCCTTGTCCACCGCCTTCGTCGCCTCGGAGATGAGCGTCTCCAACGCGCCGATGTCCTCCTCCGTGCACGCGCCCTCCTTGAGCGCCGACGCCTTGACGAACACCTTCTTCATGCGCGTCGTGATCTCGCTCTTCCTCGCCTTGTTATACAAGCGCTCTTGGACGCTGTTTTTTTGAGAGGGTGGGTTTGAGAGGGTTTAGGGTTTGGGGTTTAGGGGGAGAGCGCGCGTCAGAGGAGACGCGACGGACGGACGGCGGGGAGGGGGCGCGCGCGCCGTCCCGCGTCGTTTAATAGGGATGTAGGGCTTTGGGTTTTGTTTTATCGCGCGAACGAATTATTTTATCCGTCCGCGGCGACGGCGAGCGCGAGGTCGCGCGTCGCGCGACGCGCGAGACGCCGCGGCGACGACGTCGTCGACGTCTCGCGGATGCGATGAAACCTAAACGCCATCGCGAACGAACGTGCGAACGCTCGAACGGCGCGGCGGGCGTCGCACCTCTGAAGCGCCCGGGCTTTTTTGTTCTGCTTGCACGAGATGTGCAAAACCCCGCGCGCGCTGGCCGAGCCGGAGACCTTCGGGGGCGAGACGACGAAGGACGCGACGGACTTCTTGAACCCGACGCCCGACGTGCGGGGCGCGGACGCGAGGGACAGCGAGGAGAGGGCGTTGATGAGCGCCATGACGCGACGACGTTCGTGCGCGCGACTGAGTGCGGTGTCGACGCGTCGAGGCGGCACGATTCGCGCTCCGGCGAGCGACTGAAACCCACACGCGCCTTTGGCGCTAGCGCCGACCGACCGCGAAAATCGTAGAGAACGCGAACGAAGCGTTGCGTCGTGTCGCGCGACAGACGCACCGTCGCAGATCGACCGTCGCTCGCCCTTCCCCGCTCGCTCGTCGACGCGATGATGCGCAACGCCGCCCTCGCCTTCGGGCGCCGCGCCGCGAACGCGTGCGCGAGCGCGTCCGGCGCGACGTCCGCGTCGTCGTCGTCGTCGTCGTTCGCCTCCTCCGCCGCGTCGACCGCGCGCGCGATGGCGTCGCACGCCGCCGCGTCGACGCCTCCGTCCGCCGCGTCGACGGCAGCGACGACGACGCCCGCGACGACGACGACCGCGACGACGTTCGCGTCGCGCGCGCTCGCGTACACCGGGTCCGTCCTCGGCCTCGCGTCCGCGGCGGCGTTCACGTCCGCCGTCGTCGCGGAGGTGGACGGCGTCGGGCTCGCGGCGTCGCCGATCTCGGCGACGCGCGCGGCGCTGCCGAGGGACAAGTCCCCGTTCGATTCGGTGACGCTGTATCAGTACGACGTGTGTCCGTTCTGTAACAAGGTGAAAGCGCAGCTGGACTTCCTCGGGATCGCGTACGACGTCGTGGAGGTGAACCCGCTGACGAAGAGCGAGCTGGGGTTTAGCAAGGAGTACCGCAAGGTTCCGATCGTGGTGCGCGCGCGGGAGAGGCGATCGATCACGCGACGAGCGCAGTTAATCTTGTTTCTTTTCTTTTTCATCCCCGCCTCTTCTTCCGCCTCGCTCCCGCTCCACGCGTCGAACCCTAATACCCCTCGTTCATACCCCTCATACCCCTAATACTCGTACCCCCCACCACCACCGACCCAACCCAGATCGTGGACGGCGAGCAGATCAACGACAGCGCCGTCATCATGCGTGAGATGGAGACGCGAATGAAAAAGGCGGGTCTCCGCGGCCGCGGCGCCCGCCCCCGCCCGGGCTCCGCCGCCGCGAAGAAAGAGGACGAGTGGTTCGCCTGGGTCGACTCCCGCTTCGTCCACGTCGTCACGCCGAACATTTACAGAACCTGGGAAGAAGCGCAGAGAAGCTTCGATTACATCACCGAGCGAGGGAACTTCAACTGGTTCATGCGTCAGGCCATCGCGCTCTCGGGCGCGGCGTCCATGTACGTCATATCTCACAGGTACGATGCGCCCGCCCACCGCGCGAATGTATCTCCTCTCTTATCTCTTCACGCGAAGCGAATCACGACCACCCGTTCGTCCACGTCAGCGATTCTTCGTGCATTCTTCTGACCGATCAAATCGTTCGCCGCCGCTCGCGCGCCGTTTAGAGTGTTGAAGAAGCGTCACGGCATCGAGGACGAGCGCGCCGCGCTGTACGAAGCCCTGGACGACTGGATGCAAAACGCGGTCGGCCCGAAGAACGCGTTCTGCGGCGGGAGCGAACCCAACCTCGCGGACCTCGCGGTGTTCGGCGTCTTGCGCGCGGTGAAGACGTTCGACACGTTCTCGGACGCCATGGAGAACACGAACGCGAAGCCGTGGTACGAGCGCATGAGGGTCGAAGTCGGCGAGGCCACGCGCACGGACGGGATCGGGAACTGAGCCGAGCGAGGAGGAGGAGGGTGCCGTGGGGGTGCCGCGGGTGGTAGAGAGTGGGGGTAGGTATTTTTTTCGTTGTACGAATGCGAAGGACGCGCGGCGGCGGCGGCGGCGCTCGAGTTGAAAAATCGCACAGTCTGCCGCTGGCGCCGCCTGCGCCTGGCTGTCGCGCGCGCGTTTCACGAACAGAACGTTTAAAGTCCTCGGACGACGCGTCCAACACACCACGACGCGCTCGCTCGATCGCGTCATGGCGAGCGCGACGGAAGCGCAGGTCCGCGAGGCGTGCGCGGCGCTCCTCCCCGGGCTCGATCTCGAGGCTGTCACGGAGAGGCAGGTCGTGCACATGGTCGAAGCGCGCCTCGGCGTGCTCCTCGGAGAGAAAGGATCGGACCTGAGAAACGCGGTGCAAGGCGCGATCGACGCGTTCCTGCTCGCCGCGCCGGACGACAAGGCGGCGGCCGCGGCGGGAGGCGGCGGCGGCGCGGCGGCGGCGGCGGCGGCGGCGGGCGCGGTCCCGCCGAACGCGCGGAAGCGCTCGCGGCCGGCGTCCGCGAAAGGCTTCGTCGTGGACGACGAGGAGGAGGAGGACGACGGCGAGTGGAACGGCGACGACGAACCGGAGTGGGACGGCGAAGAGACGGACGAGGGCGAGGACGACGCTCCGGAGAAGCCGAAGAAGGCGAAGACGAAGGAGGAGCGGATGAACGCGGCGAGGGACAAGTGGGCCGCGCCCGCGCCCGTCGCGACGGCGGCGACGGCGACGGCGACGACGGCGACGACGACGATGACCGCGACGACGACGACGACGACAGCTGGCGCCGACGCGAGACCGTCGAGCTCGGCGGTCGACGAGTCGAAGCTCCTCGTCGCGCTGTCGCTCCAACCGGACGGATCCACCGCGAAAGAGCTCGCGAGTTTCCTGAAGCTCGACAAGTCCGCGGTGAACGGCGCGCTGTACCGGCTGCAGAGCGCGGGGAAAGCGTCGAAGACGGAGACGGGCGGCGCGCCGACGTGGAGGTCGAACTCCGCCGCCCCTCCCGCCGCCCCCGCGCCGGTTGACGTTCCGTCTTCCGCGCCCGCGCCCACCGCCGCGGCGCCCCCCCCGTCGTCGATCTCCCCGCCGGATAAGGACGCCGTCGACGGGCAGATATGCGCGCTGTCGAGGCAGAAGCGGCTCGTCGTCGGCGAGTACCGCGGACGCAAAAACGTGAGCCTGCGCGAGTACTACGAAAAAGACGGCAAGTGGCTTCCCGGGAAGAAGGGCATCTCGCTCGCGCCGGAGCAGTGGAGCATCCTGCGGGATAGCATTCAGGGCGTGAACGCGCGCGTCGCCGCGGTGAGCGACGGTTCGTATCCCCAGGGCGGGGACGAGTGCGTCGTGAAGTTGAACCCAAACGGAAGTCGAAGGGTCACGGTGGGGACGTTTCGAAACGCGACGATGGTCGGCGTGAGGGAGTTTTACGAGAAGGACGGGAAGTGGCTGCCGGGGATGAAAGGGATCTCGATGCCGACGGAGCAGTGGGAGCAGGTCGTGAAGCACGCGGGGAAGGTGGACGAGGCCCTGGGGGGCGCGTGAGGGGGACCGACGATTGGACGAACGAACGAACGAACGAACGAACGAACGAACGGAACGCGTTTTGTCGCTCGATGGCAGACGTCTTTCATCATCACAGCGCGGCGCTTCGCTCGTGTGTTCTCTCGTTCTCACTCTGCTCTTCATTCGTCGTTCCTTCGTTTCGTCGACGACGTCGTCGTCGTTTTCGCTCGCTTCTTTCTTCTTTCTTCTTCTCATCACGCGATGGTCATCGCGCCCTGGACGGGGCGCCGGGCAAAGTCCTTAAGGATCGGCGTTCACATCGCCGACGCGGTCGTGGGGACTAGTGCGCAGGACGCCCTCTTCGCCGTCTTCGTCGAGCGAGTCGTCCAAAGCCTCCGACGCCTCGGAGTCCTCGGAGTCCTCGGAGTCCTCGTTCTTCTCGAAGAAGCTGCCGATGCTCGGTCGGTCGTTCCCTTCCAGATCGCCGCCGATCAGGACGTCGTCGTGCGTCTCGAACGGCTCCTCCACCGGTCTCGCCGCCGTCTCCTTCGCGTAGTCCGGGTCCGCGCGTTCCCACACCGCGAAATCTTCGCCGCTCGCGGCGAGAACCCAATCCGGCGCCTGGGGCAAAATTTCCGGCGGCACGTCGTACCGCGGCCCGAGCTTCACCGTGAGGCTGTGCCCCACGCGCGCGACGTACACGTCCGCCTCCGCGATCAGGATCTTCACCTCGCTCTCGGCTCTGATCCCGGCGCGTTTGCGCGCCGCGAGGAGCGTCCGGATCGTCTCGCCCAACGCGCCGACGTCGCCCGCGCCCGGCGTTTCGCCGTCCTCTCGCGTCCACACGTGCGGGCCGAACACGCACGGCACCCCCGGGTGCGTCAACACGTACGCGTATCCGAGCTCCTGCCGGTCGGTCGGAAACGGCCAGTGGTTCTGCGGGTGCCCGGTGTCGTGGTTATCCGTGAACGTGACCGCTCGCTGCGGCGTCCATCCGAGCAGCCCCGGGGGGCGCCCGGCGCGGTCCCTCAGGGTCGTTCCATACGAGCGAACGTCGGGGTGGAGTTGAAAGGCGTCAGAAGCGGAGTTGAAAGGCGTCGAGGACGGGGATTGAGAGCGAGGGGTGGGCGGAGAGAAACGACGGGCAAAGTCCTTAAGGATCGGCGTTCACCACGCGGACGGGGTCGTATGGGGACCAGTGTATAGAACGCACCTCAGTCGCCAAAACTCGACGTGCTCGACCGCGCGCTGCAACGCACCCTTGGTGACGAAGTCGAAGAGCGCGCAGACGCCGTGCGTGGACGCGATCCAGTCCACGAGCTTCGTCCGCGGGCCGTCTTGGTCGTACGAGAGCGTGGAGCCCTCCCAGTTCATGTCGACCCAGTTTTCGCCGACGACGAGATCGGCGGTGGGGTCGAAGATCGCGCGGACGTACTCCTCGAGGTACGACGGCGCGTACCCGCGCACGAAGTCGAAACGAAACCCGCCGAAGCCGATCTCGGTCTTCAACCACCGCATCCATCGCTTCAGCGACTCCCGCAGCGCCGGGTTCGAGTGGTCCAAGTCCGGCGCGGCGTGATAGTTCTCCCCCGAGTCCGGGCCGCCTTTGCCGTGGTAGCTCGGGTCGTCGCACGTGATCGCCCACTCCCCCCACCGGACGTGGTTCCCCTCGTCGTCGACGTCCCTCGCGTCCGGTTCGCCGTACTGGTTGTACGCGCCCTCGGGGCCGACGCCCTCGGCCGCGCGGTGGTTGATGACGACGTCGCAGACGGGCGTGACGCCCACTGAGGGTCATTCCAAAATACAACAAAAGTTCATTTCATCGGTCAGTTGAAAGTAGTTGTAGACGCGATCAAGTGTTGAAACCGAGCGATGGGTGAAAAACGTTAGAACTGTACGCACGCGACTTGAGCTTCGCGCACAGCGCCTTGAGCTCGGCCTCCGTCCCGTACGCGCTGTCGTCCAGATCCCACAGCTTCTGCGGGAGGTACCCCTCCGGCGAGACGCTGTGCGACGGCGGCGGCAGCCACAGGTGCGTCACGCCCATCGCCGCGATCGCGTCCGCGCGTTCCATCACGTTCCGCCACCACCCGCGGTCCTTAGTCTTGGAAGACGTCCAGTCGAATCCCTGCAGGGTCGTTCCATACAAGCGAACGTCGGGGTGGAGTTGAAAGGCGTCAGGGGTGGAGTTGAAAGGCGTCAGGGGTGCAGTTGAAAGGCGTCGAGGGCGGGGATTGAAAGCGAGGGACCCTGGGCGGAGAGAGACGCCGGGCAAAGTCCTTAAGGATCGGCGTTCACCACGCCAACGCGGTCGTATGGGAACCAGTGTGAGATAGAACGCGCCTGCATCAACACCGCGCGCGAATACCCCGGATGCTCGCACGCGCACGCTTCCAGAGCCGCCGCGGGGACGACGTCGGATAACACGACGTCGTTCGCGACGTCGTCGACGTGCCGCGGCGCGTATTCTTCGAGGACGTAGTTCTCGCCGCGCGCCTCGAGGACGTTCCGGTCGTACGTGTACCGACACACGCACGCCTTGGCCTGAGGGTCGTTCGATACGAAGCGACGTCGGGGCGGAGTTCAAAGGCATCAGGTGGAGGAGTTGTAAGGCGTCGCGGTCGCGGTCGGGGATTGAGACCGAGGGGTGGGCGGAGAGATGGATGCGCCCGCCGCGAGAGAAAGAAAGTCTTTAAGGAATGAAGTTCACAACGCGAACGCGGTCGTATGGGGACCAGTGTAAATACATAGAACGCGCCTCCGCGTCGACGGGCGTGGCGACGTGCGTGCGGTGACCTCTTTCGCCGCTCAGAAAGGCGCGGTCCGGGGTGGGGATGGGGTACCCGGGCGGCGTGTGGACGTCTGGGGCGTCCGCGCCCTCGGCGAATTTGATCGTCGCCGCGAGCGCGGCGTCGGCGTACGCGTCCGCTTCCTTCTCGAGGCGGCCGCGGCTTTCGCGGATTTTTTCTTCAATCTTCTCGCGGCGCTCCGACTTTTTCGGCGCCGGCGCCGGCGCCGTCGCCGGCGCTTCGCTCGCGTCCTCCTGCTCGGCCATCTTCTTCAGCGACGCGTCCAGGACCGCGTCGTGGATCTGCATCGTCTCCTCGAACTCCGAGATTATCGCGGCGATCTCTTCGGTCGATATCGTGGGAGGGTTCGGAGGGTCCGGGTCCGGCGGAACCTCCTCCTCCTCCGCCGCCGCCGCCGCCGCCGCCGCGGGTTCTCCTTCGGCCGTCGCCTCTCCGACCCAGCGCGGCGCGTCGTCCTCGCGCGGCGGCGGCGGCGCGACCAACGCCGGGCCCTCCTCCTCGTCGTCGCTGCTGCTCGTCAAGGGCGGCGGCGGCGGCGTCGCCGGCGGCGCCATCGCGTCCGTCGGATCCACGCGCCCCGGCGCGCGCGCGCGCTTCGGGTATCGCCCCGCGTCCGCGTCGCGCACAGCCTCCTCCAAATCCTTCCGCAGCTCCTCCGCGCGCGACGCCTCCGCGCGCGACGCCGCGGCCTCGATGTCGCGCGCGCGCGCGCATCGGTCGCGGTCGTCCACCGCGTCGTTCACCTGCTTCGCGAGCCGCACCGCGTCGTTCGCGGTCTCCGCGCCGGGGTCGGAGGAGAAGGAGGGCGCCGGCGCGTCGTCGCCGGGCGGCGGCGTCGCGCGCGCGACGACGACGACGCGGCGCGCGCGAAGAGAAGATGAGGAGGAGGAAGAAGAGGACGCGACGCGCGTCGTCTGGACGCGGCGGGCGCGGCGCGCTCGCGGCGGCGGCGGCGCGGTCGCGGTCGCGACCGCCGCGGCGGCGTACATCGCGCGCGGGTGGTAGGTGCGCGAGCGATACGACGCGACGCGACGCGGTCGACGCGCGGGCGGGCGCGCGGGAGGTGTGCGCGCGTCCTGTCGCCGACGCCGCGCGAGGTCGTTGTCTTGGAGCCTCTTTTCTCGGAGGGTGAGAGTTTTTACCGCCGCCGCTCGGCTCACTTCTTCGCGCGCGCCCGCACGCGCACGCACGATGTCCGCCCCCGACCCCGCCGCGCCGACGTTCGACCCGAACGAGCAGCTCGCGAGCGTCCTTCTCTCGAACGTGAGGCACGTGAACACGCGCATCGCGCTGTCGAAGACGAACCGCGCGTTCAGAGAAGCATACAAGAACCACACCGCGGAGGAGCTGCCTCCCTCGTTGGACTTCAGCGGATATGATAACCCGCAACTATACCCGCTTGCCCCGTGGGAAACTGTGGCATTCACTCCATACACTGACAGCCGCGCCGCCCTCGTGTACTTGCTGAACATTCCTGGCTTCTTGACCATGGAGATGGACGTTCCTCCCTCTGCTGAGCAGCGTCGTTTACAGCGTTACAAAACCACCCCGGATCGTTTTCATACTCTGCTCTCGTGCGTGGGCGGGTGGGGTGTAGGTTATAACCCGTGGACTTGTTTAGCCGATATCTGCGCTTGCCCGAGGCGGCGACGTTTTTGGTACTTCGGTATGGCGCGTGCTGAGCCGCCTATTGAGGTACATCTGAAGGTGACGAAGTCGCACATTGAAGTGCAGTGGCATACTTGGGATATTGGCGGCAAGCCGCCGAACACTATCATCGAAATAAAACCCGCGCGCCGCTAAAGTACGCTCATCCGAACACCATCCCCATCCCCGGCGTCGCCGGGCTCCCCTTCGCGCTCGCGGCGAGCTCCAACAACCTATCCATCGGCGTCGTCGTCTTCGCGCGCCGCTCTTCCTCCTTCTCTTTCTCTGCCCGCGCGGCGCGCCTCGCCCCCGGCGGGGTGATCATATCCGCGGCATATAATCCGTCGAGGTCGACGTCCGCCGCCGCCGCAGCTGCCGGACGCCGTCGTTCTCTCGCCGTCGGCCGCGGTACCCTCCCTACTCTTTCGCGCGGCGCCGCCGCCATCGGCGACGGCGTCAGCACCCCGCGCTCCAAGCACGTCTCGTGCATCCCGTGGAGATCGATCGCGCGGTGGACGATCGCGAAGTGCGACGCCGTCGCCGCGCAAAACGCGGCGTCGCGCCGCCGCCGCCGCCGCGCCGCCGCCGCGACGGCGACGGCCCTCCATCGTCTGGTCGCGCGTCGCATGTGCGCCGTCGCCCAGTGCGCGAGCGCGATTAGGTGCGCGTTTCGGACGTTGCGGTACCATCGAATCAGCGCGCGCTTCGCGCGGTCGCGCGCCGCGCAGCGCCTCAGCGTTCGAAGCAAGTGCACCTCGCCGACGACGTCCGGGAGGACTTGGCGCGAAAACGCGCGGCGGTACTTGGCCATTCTCAGCCACGCGTTGAGACACCTGGACGCGGTCATCGAATCCCTGTACGCCACATGTGCGTTCACGGCGTCGCGCGCGCGCGCGCGCGCGCGCGCGACGCGGCGCCACGTCAGCAGCGCAGATTTCGCGGACCGATCCGCGTCGCGCGCCGCCGCGAAGGCGACGCCGCGCCATTCCCGAAGCGCCGCGCGCCACCTCTCCGCCGCTCGCGCCCTCACGAGCCGCCGCCGCCACGCGACCCGCCGCCACGCGGTCAGCGCCCCTCCCGCGAGCCGTCGCGCGCGGTGCTCCCCCGCGGTCCACATCGCGGCGGCTTCCCTCTCGACGGCGACCCACCGCGCGAACGCGACGCGCTTTGGACAGACGCGATATTTGAAAAACGTCGCCGCCGCGGAGACGCGCGACCACGCGCGCAACGCCGCGCGTCCCCTCGCTCGCGCGACCCCGCACGCGAGGACGTCGGCGATGAGATGCAGTCCGCGCGCGCCCGCGGTCGCGTCGCGCCAGGCGCGGAGCGCCGACGCCGCGCGGCGACGGCGCCAGGCGGCGGACGCGCGCCGTTCCGCCGTCGCCGCCGCCGCCGCCGCCGCCGCGTCTGCTTCTCCGCGTCGTTGCCTCTCCGCCGCCAGAGTCGTCGTCGTCGCCGCCGCCGCCGTCGCCTCTTTCGACCGCACCTCGTCCTCTTCGTTCGCCGCGAAGCGCGTGCGCGCGCGCGTCTCGGTTTTAGTACGTCGCGCGAGGTACGTCGACCGCGGCGACGAGGCGTCCGACGCCGCGGACGCGGACGCGCCGGCGGCTTTGGCGTTCCGCCGCGCCGCCGCCGCCGCCGCCGACGCCGCCGCCGACCCGCTCGCGGGCGTCGGCGTGAACGTCTTCTTCTTCGTCGTCGTGATGGTGATGATCTTCTTCTCGGGAGATATCGACCGCGACGGTTCGCGACGGTTCGTATCCTCGCGACGGTTCGCGTCCTCGCGCGACGACGTTTGGATTCCGTAGGAGAGAACTCTGGGCGCGGGCTCCGGGGACGGCGCCGCCGCGCCCGCCGCCGCCGCGGAAGATGAAACGTCGCCGTCGTCGCCGTCGTCGTCGTCGTCGTATCGTCGCCGCGCGCCGCGACCGAACGCTGCGAACGACGGCGACGACACGAGCATCGACGACGACGACGGTTTGGACGACGACGCCGCCTCGGCCTCGTTCGACCCCTTCGTCGTCGCCGCCGCCGCCGCCGCCGGCGGCCGCGCGTCCTCCGTCGGCGGCCGGCCCCATCTGAACGCCTCGGACACCACCGCGGACATCTCGTCCGACGCGCTTTCCAACACGCGCGAGCACTCGTCGGCGATCCCCGGTCGGGAATACGGCGACGGCGGCGTCGGCGGCGGCGGCGTCGTCGGCGGCGGCGGCGTGAGATTAAACGCGGACGCCGCGCTCGGCGTCGGCGGGAGCGCGCCTCGAGGGTACGAGTCGTACTCTGCGCGCGCGTCGGTATCGGTATCGTCGTCGTCGTCGTCATCGTCGTCGGAGAGTTCGTAGAGGTTCGAGCCGTTCTCGCTCGGCGGCGGCGACGACGGCGGCGACGGGAAACGCCACCGGTACCCATCGCGAAATCTGTTATGAGTTCTGCCAGTCGTCAACGTCGCCTTCAGCATCTCAGCCATGGCCCTGGACCTGACGCCGACGTCGTCGTCCGCGGACGAACGGAACGCGCTCGACGTCGTCGTTCTCGTCGTCGACGACGTCCGCCCCCGCGCGCCGCCGGTCGCAGCCGTCGTCGTCGCCGTCGCCGTCGTCGCCGCGCGCGCCGTTCGCGCGTCGTTATTCGCGCCACTCCGTAGTCGGCTCTTCGCGGTCGACCTGACCGCGGGCGCGCGGTCGCGCTTCAGCAGCGCGTCCACGCGCGTCATCCCGGACGACGACGTCGACGCGGAGACGATCGCGCACGAGTTGCCCCACGGCGACGACGAGAGCGTCGACAGCGGCGCGCGTCGACCGCCGCGGCTCCGGTCGCGGTCGAGCCCCGCGCGCGAGAAGCTCATCGAGATCGACGACGACGCTCAGACGGACGGGGGGGTTGGGATCTCGTCAGATGACCGTCGGACGGTTCCGCTCTCCGCGCGCGTATCACGCCGCGCGCATCACGCCGCGCGCGGCTCCCTGTCGCACGCTCCGTCCGCGCGCTCGCGCGATACGCGACGCGATGCGCTCCGCGCGCGCCTCAGTGCCGCGGAGTCGGTCGGATTCGCATTCGGACAGCTCGAGAACCTGCAATTTCAAACGCACAGCTGGCGGGAGTGTCGGGAGAGCGTCGACGACGCGCCGCAGTCGGACTACGGATGTACTCACAACGCTCCTCTCCTCTCCGCGCCCGCGCGCGTCCACCATCCATCCATCCATCCCTCGCCTCTCGCCTCGCCTCGCCTCGCCTCACTTCTTCTTCTTCCGCCCCGCCTTGCCCTTCGCGGGTGGATCTTTCGGTCGGAACCCTCGCCCTGGCTCGAACAAGACGGGCACCACGTTCCCACCCGACGCGTGCTTTTTCTTCCCTCGCGCCACCAACGCGCGCCGACACCTGAACGTCTCCCGGACGAACCCGCCGCCGCCGCCCGAGTCCTTCGTCGCCTTCACCGCGGCGTCGTACGCCTCTTCGGTCAAGATGTCCACCTTGCCCTCGATGCTCTGTATCGGGTTGCTGTTGACGTTGGTGCAGAGGAGGACGTCGTGAGGTTTGAAGTCGCAATCTTTGTACGCGCGAGGGCCGATCTCCGTCGCGACGTCCTTGGCGCGTTCGAGCCAGACGCAGTCCACGAATTGCCCGTCGCGGTCTTCGAACACGCTGATGTGATTGGTTTTGATTTGATTTGATTTGATGACGTGGAGGTGGAGGTGATTGGTCAGTGTGTGATGACGTGGACGAACGCGCGGTCGAGAGCGCGCGACCGAATCGAAAAAGGTTGGCGGGCCGGCGCGAGAGCTCGCCTGTCGATCTGCGCGATGTACAAGTCTTCGTCCTCGGACCCGGGGAGAGCGTAGACGTGGTCGCCGACGACGTAATCGATCTTCACGCTCTTGCCGTCCTTCACCGTCGTCGTCTGAAACCCGTCGTGGTACACGCGGTCGCGGTAGAGGGACCCCTGCCGCGGCGGTCCGATGAATTTCACTGAGGGAGCATCGGTCGGCGCGGCGTCGACGAATGGAATGGAATGAACGGCGCGTCAGTCGGCGTCGCGAGGCGTCGATCGAGGCGCTGCGCGTCGGGATTAAAAGCGAAGGGCAGTGCGAGGATAGAAACGCCCGCCGGGAGAGAGAGTAGAGTCCTTAAGGATCGGCGTGCACCGCGCGAACGCGGTCGTATGGGGACCAGTGTGATGCGCACCCGACACGCGGACGTTGTGCGGGTTGTGCGCCGCCGGGGGCGGCGCCGACGCGTTCGCCGTCGCCGCGGCGTCGGCGGACGACGCCTTCGGCGGCAAGCCCGCGTTCTTCTTCGCCGCCGCGGCTTTCTCCTTCTTCTTCTTCTTCTTCTTCTTCTTCTCCGGCTCCGCGCCGGCGGCGTCGGCGTTCGCCGCGGTCGCGGTCGCCGCCGTCGCCGCCGTCGCCGTCGCCGTCGCCGCGACGCGCGCGCCCTCCTCCACTTCGCGCTCTTTCCGCTTCGCCCCCGCCCTCGGCGGCGTCGCTTTGCTCTTCCCCCCTCCCGCCGGCTTCCCGCCCGTCCCTCCCCCGCCCCCGCCGCCGCCGCCCTCCTTCGTCGGCGTCGTCGGCGTCACCCCCAACCGATCGTCCGTGACGAACGACGCGCCGACCGCGCACTGCGCGCGACGCGGCAGCGGCCACCCCGCGAGATGATACCGCGCGTCCTTGCCGCGCGAGAAGTGATCCTTCGCCGCGCGCAGCGCGGTCTCCACCATCGCCGGGGTGATCGCGACGCCGTCGCCGAACGTGCGGCGGATCCACGCGTCCGCGGGGGGCACCGCGCACGCGGCGACGACGTCCGCGGCGGCGACGCCGTTCCCGTCGTTCATGATCAACCGCGACGCGATCACGAGGAGGAGGTCCGTCTTCGCGTCCCCCGGCGTGGGCTTCAGTCGTCGCAGCGCGCCCTTGAGCTTCGCCATCGCGCCGTGGCCGCACGCGGCGGATACGGCGTCCTTGGCGTCGACGCCGCTCGCCTCCGCGCGGTTCTTCGGCGGGCGCCCGGGGCCGGCCATGACGCGCGGAGAGGCGGCGTCGTCGGGGCGACTGACGACCGAGTCGCGCGCCGTGCCAATGGCACGCCCAGACGTCAGCGACAGACCAAAAGAAGAAATTCGATGATGACTCGGACTGGACGACGGCGACACCAATTCGTTCATTCGCCCCCGCGCCGCCGCCGCCGCCGCGTCCGTGTCGCGCGGGCCACGCGGCGCGTCGTCGGTCGTCCATCATGTACGAGCTTCTCTACCGCGTCCTCAGCACGCTCAACGAGAGCACCAAGTTCATCGTGTGCTTCATCGCGTTCGCGGTGCTCGTGACGCACCCGAGCCCGAAGACGTCGTGGTGCATCCTGGGCTCGTTCGTCGCGTACGTGAACGGGAAAATTCTGAAAAAGTGCATCGGGCAGACGCGGCCGGAGTCGCTCGACGGCGGTAAACGACGCGCGGACCCGGGGATGCCGTCCTCGCACGCCATCTCGCTCGCGTTCATGTCCTGCTACGCCGCGGCCGCGGTGTACCGCGGCGAGAACTCGCTGTCGTTCCAGGCGATCTTGTACTACCTCCCGGAATACCTGACGCCGCACTTCGCGGCGATAGCGATCTTGGGAGGCGTGTTTCTCACGTGGCTGCGCGTCGCGCTCGGGTATCACACCGCGCCGCAGGTGTTCGCGGGGTACGCGATGGGCGCGGCGACCGCGATCGGGTGGCTGTGGGCGGGGGAGACGCTCGTCGAGCCCGCGTTCGCGGATCGAGAGGAGATGACGAGGTTTCTGAGAGCGGCGCTCGCCGCCGCCGTCGGCTGCTTCGCGTTCAACGCGCTGCCGCCGGTGATCGGCGCTTTGAAAGGGGAGCTCGCGCGGTCGAGGATGTCGTCGCCGACGAACCACGCGCACGGGTCGTAGCGAGGAGGGAGAGCGGCGACGACGACGCGCGTTCTCGGAGGAGGGGGGGATTCTATCATTCAATTCTATCATTCAATTCAATTCAATTCAATTTTCTGCGGGTGGTCGGGAGGAAGACTGCGACTGGAAGGACGACGGAGGTGTCGCGTGCCGTCGTCATCAGAAGAAGCGTTAAACTACTGTATGTCGTATTACTAATAAGATTAACAATAACCGAACGCATCGCGTCGTCAGTCGTCGTACGTCACGCGCTCCCACTCGCCGCTGCCGTCGTCGCGCCGTCTCAACTCCCACGTCGGCCAGTAATTCCTATCGAGCTTGAGCGTGAGCACTTTCGGGCGGCCGGTCAATCCGATGAGTTTCAACCTGACGAACGACCCGTCCGGTAACCCGCGAGTCGCTTCAATAAACGCATCGATCGTTGGCGTTTCCACGTCATTCACGCTCGCGATCCAGTTCAGCGCGTATAAACCGTATCGCTGCGCGGGGCTCCCGTGGTACCATCGAGATATGAAAACGTCGAGAGGGACTCTCGGGTCCGTCTCCGTCGTCGGTCGGAACCCGAGCTCGACCACCGGCCGATGCGTCGGCTGAATCTGACACCCGGCCCAATGCAGCAAACGCCCCGTGCCCGCGACGGACTCCGCGCTGAGCGTGGGGAGGACGTCCACGACGACGCCGTCGCGGACGATCTTCAGCGGTAACGCCAGTTTGGCGTCCGTTTCTTCGTCTGTTTTTTTTTCAGGGCCGCTCTATACAAGCGAATGTCGGGGTGGAGTTCAAAGGCGTCAGTTGCAGTTGAAAGGTTTCGAGGACGGGGATTGAAAGCGAGGGGTGGGCGGAGAGATGCGCCGAGCAAAGTCCTTAAGGATCGGCGTTCACAACGCCGACGCGGTCGTATGGGGACCAGTGTATAGAACGCACCTCATCTCCCCGAGCGGCGACGGCGGCGGCCACCGCGTCTTCCACCGCGCGAAACGTCGTCGCCGCGCGCCCTCCCGCTTCTAAGACGACGTCCCCGCCTTTCAAGACGTCGTCCGCGCCCGTGCACGCGACCGTGCTCGCGACCGTCAGCGCTTGTCTGCGCACGGGGTCCGCGCGGAGTAAGGTTTCGATCCACGCCGACGGGACGCCGTGGTCCGCTGCTTTCGCGAGCGGCATCGAGCCGAACTCGGCGTCGAGCAAGTACACGACCCGTCGTCGCGACGATTCGTCTTCTTCTTCTTCTTCTTCTTTTCGTGACGTTTCGCGTTCGCGTCGTTTCCACTCCAGGATCTGCGTCACCGCGTCCGATACCGGCGCCCACGGCATCCCGCGGACGAGGTCGCGGACTTCCCCGTCCGCGGGCTTCGCGTACGACGCCCACAGCGCCTTGGCTCGGCCGGTCGCGTCGGTCAAAACCCCGCCGAACGCGTACCCAAAGTCCGTATCCAACGAGACGACCTCCTCGTTCACCGCGCGGAACCGCGGGATGTCCGCGGAGGGTATGTCCGCGCTGGACGTCGCGTCCGTCACCGCGCTGAGGGTCGAGGGTCCACACGAGCGATGATGTCGGGGTGGAGTTGAAAGGCGTCAGATGGAGGAGTTGAAAGGCGTCGAGGTGTGTCGGGATTAAAAGCGAGGGGTGGTCGGAGAGAGACGACAGCAAAAGTCCTTAAGAAACGGCGTTCACCGCGCCGACGCGGTCGTATGGGGACCAGTGTGAATACGAACGCGCCTGACCCTCGCCATCGGCCGCAGAGACCCGGAGAGGCCGACGAGGACCACCTCGTCGCCGCGTCGAATCGCGGCCTCCGGATCCCCCGCCTCGTGGGTCCGAATCGTCTTCACCGCGGCACACGCGGCGCGAGGCATCGCGCCGGCGTCGTAGGACACGATCCCGAAGTTATGCGTCGGGTGTAAGTACTCCACCTTGGCGGCTGAGGGTCGTTCCGTACGAAGCGACGTCGGGGTGGAGTTCAAAGGCGTCAGTCGGAGTGGAAAGGCGTCGCGGCGTGTCGGGATTGAAAGCGAGGTGTGGGCGAAGAGATGTGCCGGCGAAAATCCTTAAGGATCGGCGTTCACCACGCCAACGCGGTCGTATGGGAACCAGTGTACAGAACGCGCCGACTTCGTGCGGGTACGCCGCGAAAGAAACGAGGACGTCGCACGACGCCACGGGGACGGTGTTTCGATCGACGAGGACGAGCCCGAGACCGCTCTTCGGGTCGTGATGCACGACCGTGCCGTTGCCCTCGAAGGACCGGGAGTAGACGCCGTCCGCGAGCGCGACGGTCGCGACGTCGACGGTGACGAGCGCGAGGGAGGGTTCGACGACGACGGCGACTTTTTCGGCGTCGGCGTCGACGGGTTCGATCTCGTCGTCCGCCGCCGCCGCCGCCGCGTCGTCGTCGTCGTCGTCGTCGTCGTCGTCCTCCTCCACTTTCCTCCGCTTCGACGCCTTCTCCTCATCTTCCTCCTCCGGAAGCGCGAGCGGCGTGCGGTCCCATAACCCCGTCGCCGCGTTCCGCTCGTAAAACGCCGCCGGCCGATACCTGCGTGGGTGAAGCGATCGGTCAGTCGAACGTCTTGCCGGTCAAACGTTGAAAGGGAAGCGCGGGTGAAGAGTGACGACGGGAAAAGTCCTTAAGGATCGGCGTTCACCACGCGAACGGGGTCGTATGGGAGGCAGTCTCACCACCGCGCGCGGATCCGCAACAGCGCCGTCTTTCTCCGGTGGCGCTCCGCGTGCACGAAATACGACACCGGCACGCGATCGCCCTCCTTTAACTTCGCGTACGCCGCCGCGAACGCGTCGAGGTCCGGCGTCGGCGTGTTCCCCAGCGACGTGAGTATCGCGTGCTTCGGAACGTTCGCGACGCCGAGGACGTACCCGGGTTCCGCGACGTAGACGCCGCCGCACGGGAGCTGAGGGTCGTTCCATACAAAGCGATGGCGGGGTGGATTTGAAAGGCGTCAGTTGGAGTTGAAAGACGTCGAGGGCGGGGATTGAAAGCAAGGTGTGGGCGGAGAGAGACGACGGCAAAAGTCCTTAAGGATCGGCGTTCACCACGCGAACGCGGCCGTATGGAGACCAGTGTATAGAACGCACCTGAAAATTCCTCGCCTGCTGATAGGACAACGCGTTCACGACGCCGCCGGCGATCTCGAGCATCCTCGAGGGCGTGATCGCGTGCAAATCCCCGACGAGAATCTCCACCGTCTTCGCTACGCCGCCGCGCTCGACCACGCACGCGAGCGTCCTCCCAACGTTGTCGTCCAGGATGGACTCCAACGTCACGAAGTCGACGACCACGACGCCGTCCATCTTCAGGGTCGTTCCGTACGAGCGAAGATGTCGGGGTGGAGTTCAAAGGCGTCAGAAGCGGAGTTGAAAGGCGTCGAGGGCGGGGATTGAACGCGTGGAGTGGGCGGAGAGATACGCCGGTAAAAGTCCTTAAGGAACGGCGTTCACCACGCCGACGGGGTCGTATGGGGACCAGTGTAAGAAGGAACGCGCCTTAACGAGGACGTCGCCGACGACGAGGACGCCCTCGCCCGGTCCTCCCGGCACGGTGTCGTTCACGACGAGCGCGCCGGTGCCGTCGACGCCCTGCGCCGCGCGCAGCACCGCCTCCGTCTCTATGGACACGCCGAGGCGGCGGCACTCGTCGAAGCCGCGGTACTGGAACGTCGTCTGCGTCGTGCCGCGGGGGATGATTGGCGCGCGCCATTCGGCGTCGCCCGGATTGGCCGGGCACGCGTCCCGCAGTAAGTCCAGCGCGCGCTTCACGCGATGCAAGGGAAGGTAATACGCCGCGCTGCCCTTCGTCTTTGAGCCCGCGTTGAGGGCGACCGCGCGGCCGTTCACGTCCACGACGGGCGAGCCGGAGCTCCCGCCCTTGGTGCCGCTGGCGGCTTGGATGTAAAAGGTGTTGAAGTCGTTGTACCCTTTACTTCCGTATTTTGGCGCGTCACGATCTAAGGGTCGTTCCATACGAGCGAATGTCGGGGTGGAGTTGAAAGGCGTCAGGTGGAGTTGAAAGGCGTCGAGGGCGGGTATTGAAAGCGAGGGGTGGGCGGAGAGAGACGACGGGCAAAGTCCTTAAGGATCGGCGTTCACCACGCCGACGCGGTCGTATGGGGACCAGTGTATAGAACGCGCCTAACCGCGCGAGCGTGGCGGATAAGATGCTCAGCTTTTCGCCGCTGTCGTTGCCGACGATGCGGACTTCGAGGCCGACCGCGGCGCCGTCGGGAGCGAGCGGGACGTCCGTGACTTTCTGGAACTTCACGAGAGAGGGGTCGAAACGCATGAACGCGAAGTCGTGCACGGGATCGCTGCGGAGGGAGGGCGACGAAGCGTCGTCAGTTGGACCGCGTGTGATGACGTGGCATGCAACGCGTGGATCGTATGTGTCGACGTGGCATAACGAGCGGTCGAGGAGAGAGGACGAACGAACCTGTACAGCGCGCGCAGCGGCACCTCCTCGCGGTTCTGAAACACCGCCTCCGCCGTCACCGGCCCCGGCCTGCACACGTGGCGATTCGTGAGGACGACGCCGCGCGCCTTGTCCACCACGAACCCCGTCGCGTACGCGCTCCCCGCGGACTCGGTGTCGAACGCGCGGACGCCGGTGGTCTTGATCACGACCACGCCGTCGCTGACGCGTCGAACGACGCCCTGCCACGTGGCGTCCGTCTCCGGGAGCAGCGGCTCGGAGGACGGGTCGTCCATCGTCGTCGCCGGGTTCGGCGACACCTCCTCCTCGAGCTCTTCTCGCTCCTCGTCGTCCGTCATCGTCGCGCGCGGGGGGAGGGATCGAAGGCGAAGCGCGCCGCCGACGCCACGCGGGGATCGACGACGCCGAGACGCGCTGGACGCGACGACGACGACGACGGCGACGGAAGAAGCGCGACGTGGATGATGGCGCGCTCGCGACGACGACGACGAGAACGCGCACGCGACGGCGAGCGCGTGCGGACGGCGACGCGGCGGCGACGCGGCGGCGGCGACGCGCGCGACGCGAGGGCGCGAAGACGACGACGACGGAGCGCGCGCGCGGAGCTCGGCGAACGACGACGCCGCGCTCGCGACAGACATGGAGCGCCCGCGCGCGGATCTGAGAGGCGACGTGCCCGCTTTCGAGGTCGAGATTTCTGAAAGGTTTCGGAATTAAATATGAATCAACGCGCGCGCTCGACCTACGCGTCCGACGACCTCAATACTGATACACTTTCGAGTCCGCGCTGCCCGGGGCGCCGAACGCCCCCGGCGTGAGCATGTCGTGCATCGGGTACGCCCTGCGAACGAGCGCGGCGACGACCTCAAAGTCCGCGCATTTCGTCTGCGCCCCGCCGCTCTCTCCGCCGCCGCCGTTTCGCACGGTCACCACGAGTCTCGGCTCTCTGTCGTCGTCGTACTCCGCGCTCTCGCTCACCTCGCCGCCGCGGAAACACAGCTGTCCGCCGCCGATGACGCGCGAGCGCAGCGCGCCGTGTTTCGCGCCCTCGCGCGTCGCCGCGTCCGCGAGCCGCGCGTGGTCGTTAACCGTGGGCGCGCCGCCGCCGCCCGTGGCGTTCAGTCGAAGCACGGGCTGAAGCGTCGTCGGCGCGCCGGCGGTGGCGTCCGTCACGGTGAATTCCACGACGGCGAACGCGAACGAGCGGTTCGTGTCCGGCCGCAGCGGCGGCGGCATCCCGCTCTCCATCCCGACCGCGCTCGGGGTCCACGCGGCGGGCGAGCGCGCGTCGGCGTCGATCGACGTTTCAGGGCCGTTCTATACAAGCGAAAGTCGGGGTGGAGTTGAAAGGCGTCAGTTGGCGTTGAAAGACGCCGAGGGCGGGGATTGAAAGGGAGGGGTGGGCGGAGAGATGCGCCGAGCAAAGTCCTTAAGGATCGGCGTTCACCACGCGAACGCGGTCGTATGGGGACCAGTGTATAGAACGCACCTCATCCTCCTCGACCCACCGTTCGATGAGCGCCCTGGCCATCGCGTGCCGCCCTGGCAACGCGATCTCGCCCTCGGGTATCTCCCCGGCGCCCGGGGTCTCGCGCGGGTCCACGTTCTTCCCGAGCTGCGCGCGGAGCCAGTCCTTGTGAAACCATCGCGCGTCTCGCAGCTCGTTCCGGTCCAGCGTCGGGTTCGGCGGCGAGAGGAACCGCGCGGGGAATGAGGGCCGTTCTATACAAGCGAATGTTGGGGTGGAGTTCAAAGGCGTCAGATGGCGTTGAAAGGCGTCGAGGGCGGGTATTGAAAGCGAGGTGTGGGCGCAGAGACACGCCGGACAAAGTCCTTAAGGATCGGCGTTCACCACGCCAACGCGGTCGTATGGGAACCAGTGTATAGAACGCGCCTGAACGGGAAGCGGGAAGGCTGGCCTCGCCGGCGCCCGCGCCGTCCGAGCGCTCCTCCCCGCCGACCGCTATCGCCGCCACCTCCGCTCGAAACCCCACCATGAGCTGGCACGGGAACGGCCACGGCTGCGACGCGACGTACGTCGCGCTCCCGGGGACGATCCCGATCCCGCTCTCCTCGATCACCTCGCGCGCGGCGGCTTGCTCCAAGCTCTCTGATTGATCCACGAAGCCCGCGAGACAGCTGTAAAACCCGCGCGGCCACTTGGAATTCCTCGCGAGCAGCGCGTACTCCCCGCACGTGCACAGCGTCAACACCGCGGGCATGAGCGTCGGGTACGCCGCGCCGCGGCACTTGTCGTCGTTAATGCGCGTGCACTGCGCCTTGTGCCCGCTCTTGACGAGTTTATTCGGGGACCCGCATCTGGAACAGAATTTATTGTTTCGCTGCCAGCTCGTCAGCGCCTGCGCGGCGGCGAGAACCCCCGCGTCGTCGCGCGACATCATCGGCCCGACCGCCTTGGCGTCCGCGACGCGTATCCGCGAGAGGACGTCCGCCAGCGACGCCTCGCCCGCGCTCGCGCCCGTCTGTAAGCGCTGGCGGCGCATCGACGCGTAGTTGTCCGCGACGGCTTTCCGCGTCGCATACGCCATCGGATCGTCGTCGGCCGACGACGGCACGTCCGTCGTGAACAGCGGCGCGCCGTCCGCGCCTCGGAACCCCATGAACGACAGGTCCCGCCCCGCGAGGAGCTCGTCCGGGAGCGACGCGAGCCGCGCCTCCGCGGCGACGAAGGAGGCGGACTCCGCGAAGGAGGCGTCCTCGGCGTCGGCATCGGATCCCGCTCCCGCTCCCGATCGCGCGCGGCGCACCTCCAGGACCCACGACTTTCCGGACGTCGTGGGCAGGAGCACCGCGTCGCGGCGCGTCTGCAACGCCGCGATCGCGTCCGCGTCCGCGCGCAGCTCCGACGCCCTCGACGCGTCCGAGAGCGCGAAGAACGGCACGCCGTCGCCGTCGTCGAACGTCGCGCGGAGGAGCGGGAGGAGGCGGCGGCGACGCGGACGACGCGTTACTAATCGCTCGTCGTCGGCACCGCGATCGACGACGACGACGGATCGTCGACGACCGGGCGCGGGCGCGGGCGACGCGCGCGACGCGCTCGCGCCGCCGCCGCGGCCGCGCGCGCGAAGCGCCGCCGCCGCCGATCGCGGAGCCGCCGCCGCCGCCGCCGCCGATCGCGGAGCCGCCGCCGCCGCCGTCGACATCGTCGTCGGCCCGCGCGCGCGAATCTCCGCGCCGCGTCGACGGAACGTCGCGAGGTGACGACGGAAGCGAACAGAGCAATTGATGATGAACAGAACAAAGAACAAATATTTCCATCAGACGGGCGGAACGCGCGACGGCGTCAGTTCATGACGACGCCGAACGCGCCGTCGTCGTCCTCGCTATCGTCGTCGCCGCCGCCCTCCTCCTCCTCCTCCTCCT